GCCGATTATCTCAACCTGTGCCCCCACTTCTTTGTAGCGCTCTTGGTACTTTCCCCTTTATGTCTCTAGCGCAGATACCCATTATGAGTCCAGCGATTTATAATCAAGGGCACCTACCTAGGTACCTCAACGATAAGTTCTAACCAGTTTCCTCCCAAAGTCATGATGAAATGGTTACCTTCTGAGGCGAGTCTGCTAGTCTCACTCCGCGCTTAATTTCTATATGAGACCTGGGAGAACTTGACCTTGATATTCAATACCTATGTTCCTAGGGAGCGGTAAAGATCTTCTGACGCGCTGTAAAAGAGATGGAGGAACCTAAATAAGATTATGTATTATACCCTTTCTCTCTGGCTGCTATGTAGCCCTGGAGAGGTCGTTCACTGACTGGGATAGTCCTTTGTTATTGTAAGTGGAACCAGAAATTTCACAGCCAATTACCTAGTGCCCCTGAGGTGATTTTCCATTCTGGATCTATTTCAATACGAGATCTGACTAAGTTATATTGGGGTAGTGCAGCTTTGTGGTTCTTATGTTCTCAGATACTAAAGCGCAGTATTTGCCGACCTAGGGGACATTGCGTGTGGCTAGAGTTGGAGTGATGGTTCAGGGATCCACCCTAATATAGTCCTAGTCGCGTATCTCTTCAACCTCTCTCTTATGATCTGTGCTTTTCTGGATTTGGTAGCATTCCGAACTTCTGTCCTACCTCACTATTCTGAATTTATTTTTGGGTATATTTTCAAGTCGTGGTGTAGGGCTCAAAACCGTGGTGTGGGGTGCAAATCGTGGTTTGGTGTCAAAGTCGTGGTAGGCAAACAAATAAATTACTAGTCTTTTGCTCTACCTTCTATCATCTTTGATCTTTAACCGATCTTTTACAATGGCGAGGTGCGACCATACTGTATGGCTTGAGCTTTGGCAGGGTGAGATAGGGCCTCTACTAAGTTATGGCTGGAGACTTCCGCAAATTGTAAAAGGCTTACCTAATCCCTCTGAGCAATCGCCTCAGATCACCTTCTTTTTAGGTCGCTATCTTAAAGAGAAAGTACTGAGAATACTGTATGATAGCAACTATAAGGGGCTAAGACGGAAATATACTGTGAATATCCGGACTGATAATCGCACTCTTAATACTTTATATTCCTACCTGTTTACCGACTATGACCTAGTATTACAAAGCTTACAGCTAATAATAGTAGGGAATAGAGGCTATTATTAAGATTATATCTTATTAATAGGCGAATTGCTGTAGGACTACTTATTGTATGATACTATCCTAAGCCGCCTACTATTTATATTTATCGATATGATTTATATTTTTGTAGATGATCTTAGAGGCCTTAATACTATATATGATATATTATTAGTATAGGTATGTATCGGATCGGGATCTTCTCTTCTATACTCTATCTGACTAAGAGTCATTGTTATTATAAGTAGTAATAGTAATAAAAGCGTGACTTAAGATATACTTAATAAGACCGACTTCTTCTTTAAACTTCAATCGATGTACCTAGATTTATATAACGTCTTTTCTGATATCCGATTTTCTTATCTCCTATTAGACGAACTGTCTACTAAAGCTTGGTTCCTAACACTCAGCTCAGACATTTTAAAGTAACTTCATAATACACGCTTCAATTGTATAAGGAATAAATTAATATTTTTAGTAACTTATCTAAGTGACCTATTTAAATTGGCCACTTAACAAATATGTTATATTCCTTCTGGTTAATTCGATTTTATCGCTGCTACCAGGTAGTAAAATTCCCTCGATAGAGCTTTTAGTTCCTACCTCACTAACTTCCTGAAATTAAGTGGGAAGGCTACCTTACCCTACGATGGTATAGTATCTTATATCGCCTCTGCTATCCTGATAGACATATATCCCCTAGGAATATATTGTTAGTAACTCTTTCCCTTAGATATACCTATATAGCTTATGACTAATAATACTATAGTGTTTTCTCCTAAAATAATATTTGAAAGGCTCTACTACGATATATACTATCTAGTATATCGAATGGTATATAGTATAGATAAGCTTGTAAGAATCTAATGTGAACGAATTAGAGATTGTCTTTAAATCCTATTTAACTATATGATAGTAGGATATATGTGGTCTGCCGCTGTTTATAAAGATAATTTAAGAGGCTAAAATAAGTACTAGGGATAGCTGAAGTCTAATAGGATATATTTTATATATATTAGGCGAAGTCTAGAGTATATACTCCTATACGGCTACTCTATCTATGATATCTATATTAAGATCTTCGGGGAGCTTTCTATATCGGTAGAGGAAGAATATGTTATTCTAAGATACAAACTTTATAGAGCTAAAAAGCTTCTTACAGTTTATATGAAACTAGCTACTTGTGCTACTCGCGTTTTAAGTATTAATAGCGGTAGACCACGTAGCATTATCCCCCTTAAGAATCTCAAGATCTTATAAGGGCTCTTAGGGCCTGACATTTCTCTTTATAATATAATTGACCTTACAGTTAGCTGTAGCTCTAGTAGGCTAATAGTACTATCTAAATTTATTCTTCGTATAGATATCATATCTTATAAAGAACTCTTTCAGGATTTGGCCAAGAAGGTACTTTCACTAATAAAGAAAAAGTACCTACTCCGATCATAGCTCTCTAATAGTCTATATAATACTAAAGCTCTTAAAAGTACTCTCTAGGATCACTACAGCCTAACTAGGAGAATGTTTGATATACTATAAGCTTATTTATTATCTGGGAAAGTAGCTGTATCGGCAAGTGAGATTAAGGCAGGTATACCGTTTATATTCATAAATTATAATAGCGTAGTACCCTACAGAGTCTAATCAGGTCTATTATCTAAAATTATTCTTATTAAGCTAAAAATTATACTAAGGTCTTTATAGTATACGGTAGGCTTAGACCTAATAGTAAGAGTAAGCTATTTATCTAGTAAGTGTAAGTAGATTTATCTAAGCTCCTACAGTATATACTTCTTATTAATATATCCTAGAGGTTGTACTACTATAGCTGTACCATAGTAAGTGACTATTTACTAACTCTCTTAATTTAATATTGACCCGCTATAGGCTGTTCCCTACCATTAAGATCCCTAGGCTTAGAGCCTTCTAAGATAGCGGTATAAGAAGATATAATAATCCTATCAATCTAGCTTTGTCTAAGGCAAAATATCTATGGCCTAATTGCCCTAACCCAGATATTTTCATTTCTCTCGGAACAGGATCTATTACCTACAGCTAGTCTCTAATAGTTTCTAAATTCCGTAATATATTTCTCGATAGATGGCTTCCGCGTGTGTATCGATCAGTATCTTTATCTTTTAAAGGATAAAATAACTAGAGGGAGTTCCTAGGTGTGATAGATAAAAAGATTCGAGACAACTACTTCCGCTTTAACTTACCGATTCCTGGCGGACTGCCTAGATTAGATAATACTGAATGTATGGATAGACTGTCTAGTCTTGTTTATACTAATATATTACTAAGTGATCGGATATAGATAGAGGTAGCTATATTATTACTAGCTATATCCTTCTTCTTTTACTTAGATACTAAGCTAGAATACTTCTCTGGTCTACTATAATGTACTGGTTCAATTCGATGCTGTGCTCTAGTACAATATATTATTAAATGTCTAGATAAATTGGATTCTACCCCTAAAGAATTCTATAAGGATATAATTAATCTAGGACTTTTATTGACCACTAATGATATTTGCCAATATTGCGACCGATATTTCCGACTAGTTCGATTTATTATCCAAGATATCGGAGATATAATAACGCTATTACTGCGGTTCGGCGGCGAGTAATACCATCTTAGCGCATTTCTAAATAATATGCAATGGTTTACCGAGTAGTAAGGGCTTGAGTAGAGTTTTGGATCTCTAGACCATTATGCAAACTTCTTGTAGAGGGGTTGTCCTATATGCGAAGGACAATAAGCCGGGAGACCTAGGAAGAGGAAATATATAGATATCTGATATTATTTCTGATCTTTCTTAAGGGCAGCTAGGCATTGTAAGAGTGCTGTGTTATATTCCTCTAACGTTTGTTGTAGAAATTGATTTTGCTTTTTTAATTTATCGATAGTTTTCTGGTCTTCTATATACAGTCTTCGTAGAGATTGGAAGTTGCTAAGTAGCTTTGCGGGGTCTATATCTGTGGCAAATTAGATACTTTAATAATTGATATCGCAAGAGCGTGTACTATTGGCAATCTGGGCTAATTCTATGATTTCTAAAAAAAAAGGTTCTCTCGAGGCGGGCGGAAGGGTCCTGGAAAGCAACCTATGGAAGCGCTTCAGTCTTTTAAGAGTGATAAGATGTGATAACTAGATGTATGTGATTAACCCAAAATGTACCAAGGACTTGTGTTGGCAGTATGTTAGACTCATCATAGAGCCGCTTTGAAGACCACGCTTTTTTTAGCAGTGGCTAGCTAGTAAATTGTGGTTCGAAAAGATTTAAAAGACGGAGTAATACACTAGATGACTTTATTTACCTTAACTACTACTTATTTCAAGATCAACTATAGAAAGTTTCACTGATGAACAGTTTGAGCGCCTTTTGGAAGGCCTGGATCAGAGCAGCGACATTCAGCCGTTTGAAACCTTTCTGAGTAACCTAGAAGAGATGCCCGATATCGTACCGTTTAACTCTTTTTATGATCTAACACTGGTACTAATTGCAAATGATCCGGAAAGCCTGCTCTCCTTTCTCCCTCTCCCGCTAATTGAAGAGGAGGTGTCCTCTTCCCCCGATACGTTACCTTGTCTACGATTGGATGAACTGTCTTCGGTATATTCTATCCCTACGTCTGCGCCCGAGATAAATGAGGCTCTAGAGATGGTATATTGGGTAAAGTTCCTAGTCGAATCACAGAGGTCGCAGTAAGAGGCTATGAAGCTAGAGTGAGTTGGATATCTCTACTAGTCGTTCTTTTGTTTTTGGATATTCTAATAATGAATAAAAAACAGATTAGATGCAATGAAGTCGTGAGTCATGGTATCCCGTTTTACTATGGTTGCTATAAAATGCTAATATTTTTGAAGTACTGTCGAAAAAATCCGGAAGTACCAATTAGAAATCCTTAATCCCTGGGTTGAGGATGTCCACAATGCACTTCGAGGGCTAGGGTGTTTAGGGGATGAGCCCCCAGCCTCTGTAACCGACGGCGAGTTTGACATTAATATCATTGATCGCCCGTGAGTAGAGCGTTGGGTGGACTATTGATTGTCTTTGATCTAATTTTTATTACTTTTGCTGGTCATCTCTTTGTTCTCTTGTGTATTGCTTTTTGCGGCCTATTTGTTGGTACTGTGAGGGGAAGCAAGTTTTTGCCTCTCATTGTCAATGAAATATGATAGGCTGATCACCTGAAATTACTTTCCTATGTAAGGATTCCGATCCTATAGGATAAAGTCCTGTATCTAATCATAATTATAAGACGCTAACTAGTTCTATAGACTTTATGATGGCGTCTTTTCAAGGCGCCATATACCAGGATTTCAGTGGTTGTCGTTGTCCCGTGCGATGGTAGACTTGCTGCGCAACTCCTGCGCAACAGTGCAGCACAGTTTTTCAACTTAGCTCATGAGATAGATAAAGGGACCTGACCGTAGGTCTTGGATTTTTTTTTGGACATGTCTGGTGCTTCTGATATGGCGGGCGTTATATGGACCGAAGAAGAGACAGCAGTGCTGCTTGTTTTTGCAATGTGGGGCTATAAGCATGAGGCAATCGCAGAAATTCTGACTAATCGACGGGCGGAGGTCCGAGGTATTCTTAACACAGATTTCTTGCCGTCATATATGCGGACAGTGTCGGCTGTGTGTAATAAATTGACTGAGGTTCGAGCCCGAAACCCTTAACTCTGGTTGAAGGAAAAGGGATGGGATCGAGATGCGGTCCTGATATATCTTTGCTAATCGACGGTCGACCACGCCCAATTAAACCGACTCTTGAATTTAACTGCTACTGACGTTAATATACTTAACCGAGTATGTGTTCTGAAAGATCCAACTAAGTTAAGAAGTACTGACTAGTTGCTTAGAGAGATAATGTGTGTTGAATCCGAGTTATAGTACGGTCTAAGGGATATAGCGCGGATGGTACGAGCTGAGATCGAACATAATCACGTAGCCTTATTCTGCGCTGGGCTATAGCGTTCATTTATATATATGTATTCGCCCCAACTCTCGCCAAGGTGGTATCTTCCTTGAATGGTATATCAATGTGGCTCTGTAAAAGAAGAGAGTGCACGGTTTGTGAGGGTAGATGTTTTCAGGTAAATGAATGGTCATTACTGCTACTGCTGCTGCTGCTAGACGGCTCTATGACCCTGATCTTGGAGTTCGTAGATGTTACTATAAAGCGGCCACTTATAAGAGGCACCGTTGGATTCCGATAGGCTATAGTAAAATGATACCATCGCGTTATCCATTTTAATAGCAATTGCTCTTGGGAATAGTAAATAGTTATAGAAAAAGGTTTGAGTGGAAAATACCTACGATCGTAGTTGAGGACGCAGATAAGGGTTAAATTATGTTTACGCTTCGTGAGGAGCCAAAAATATAGGGAAGGGTGGTAAGGGAAGCCCTATTTATACCAGAATGTTCAATGTGCCCGAAGAACCCTGTTATTAGACTACGACTTTATGAGTAATACTACTAGCCTATCATGTGTATCCTAGCTCCTTTATATTGGCTGTTCAGACATTGACGAAGAGATTGGTACTATAAGCGGGAGTCTGTGTCCTTTGCAAGGCCATATAGTCCAGAATCCTCCGCCGTCATCCTTATACCTAGAACTTGAACGTTACTAACTGCTTTACCTAGGGCTTGAATCTTTCGAACCGCAGTCTCCTCGATTTCCGCAAAAGTTTCCTGAACGGAGCTATATGATAGCATAGCTCCCCGTTCCTTTCTTTCCTGGCACACTCCGTTGACAATTTTGATCATAATATCTTCCGACAGAGACCGGTTATCTTTCCACTTCGCAGCTGGGGTCTGTAGTATCATTTCCAGTATTTCCGCGCTTCTGGCTTGTGTATTTTCTGCCGCGACAAGTGCAGCTTCACTCAAATCCTGGTAGCTTATAGTATGGCAAATTATCCAGCTCACCCTAAGGATGCAATTTTGTGCTGCGGTATATGTCAGGACGCGCTTAGTCTTACTTAGTGATAAAAAAGCGACGAGATGTGAGCACTAAAACGGAAAGGGAAAGGTCTCGAGTGCCAGGTATTATCCGGTACATAACTATGTAGTTAGTACATATGTATTACCATAATGAAGTGTATCATTGGCTGTAGAAATCCCCTAATATGCTTGGCTGATGTATATCCCGCAATAATAAATTCAGTCAATTAACATGCTTCTAGTTTAAAGAGATTATTCCAGAATACACATACTTTAGTATATTAACATATGTCAAGAGATTTCCGCTAGGGCTATATGTGCTTAGACCCTTAAGGCCTGGATACGGCGGGACTCTGGCTAGGAGTAGATTGTGTCATGGAGCTTTCCGGAGGGTTGGTGACCGCGGCTTAAAAGCCAATTTAACATAGGCTCCGGTTTTGTTCGATCCACTATCTCCAACCAACCAGGTGATGCGTTTCTAGGATAAGGTTTTCCCAGATCTAGGCCTGAGCCTAATAACTCGTTTGCAAGGTCTACATCGGTAAATTGCTATATATTTCTCATTTTATCTGGCCTAAGCGAGGTAAGGCCATTGTCGGCTAATGGCTTAAGTCGTTCCCAGCAACACTGAAACCATCTTTGATTCTATGTAGAGGCCTGAAAGATTGTGTATGGCTCTCCATTCGCTTCCCCCGTCAGAGTGGGACTCAAAAGATCTTTGGGTTCCATCGAAGACACCAGGCGTTGTATCAAGAAGTCGTCTTGGTCGCTTGTTGAGCTGCTCACGAATCTTTTGACTTTCTTGCGACTTACCAGCAATCCTTATGATGAGATTTGCTGGCATGTCAACACGGTTACCGGAGACAGTATGCGGGGAAGCGAGGACATGAGTCTGCCTTCAATGACTTCATTGGTAATATTAACGAACCGTTTCAGTGCAACCTGCCTTCTATTAGATCGACAAATATACCAAAAACCTCGAGTTATGAATCACCTTGTAGTAAGCTAGCATATAGTCCAACGATTCAGTAGATGCAAAACGTACCATATCTGGTTCCGATTGCTGCGACAGTGATTTGAATGCTCCACGCAGTAAGGCTCTTTTAAATTATTAACCCCAAAATAAAGCTCTAATGTCTTGGCTAGCTCGTATTCCTGGTGCTCGGTCCGGATATTCTGCAAGGTTTCTGTGAAGTAGTGATTGTAAGTAATGGGATGCCCTGTCTGGTGTGGCATCAGGAGCTCCCTAGTCTTGGTATCGATTTCCCGTTTGATGGTATTATAGGCTAGAATTATGATCTTCTCTAACACTGCAGCTGATGTGGCTTTATCCGTGATATGTTTGGCCACATGGGCGAGAAATTCTCTGGCAGCAGTGTATATACCGTCCGCGTGGCTGCGAGTCAGCTGTTCCTATAGGGAGCACTGTAATATTACTGTACCACGCTATGGACAGAAACCACTGTTCTCAATATAAAGCCGCAGCGAAATCGTGGTCGGCGCTTAGCTTCCTAGATTTGTCTCCTATTGACCAACCTGGTAATTTATTGATGGGTGTGGAAGATAATAAGACCTAAATGGATGAAAGTGAGTGTATTTTAGGCTAGGTAATACTAAGGTTTGAAGCTATGTATACTGGGCGCCTGGCACAGTCTGTTGTATCGTTCCCAAATGATTGGGATCGCGGATTTTCGAAAATGTGATTCTAACTAAAAAGCTATCTCCTACCTACCATACAATATATACCTCAATATTGTTAGATCTAAAGAATCATAACTCTGACCAGTTATACATTAGGGCGTTTAGTGAGTTTCGGGGGTTGAAATTCATGCTTAAAATAGTCCGCTTTCCCTGCTTGGCGTAAAGTAAATGATCTACAATTGTCCCTGATGTTAGGGGCCGCAGAAACTTAAAATTGTCAGAGTACATTCACTAATGTGTATACTCAGTAGCTAGGGCCTACCTGATAGTAGAAGCTTCCTAGAGAACTTTTTGAATTCTTCATCTAACACTGTTCTCATATGTGGCTTCCTAAATACTATTCGTCCGCGGCGCCTAACATTTCTGGTTGTCACATTAGTTATGGAGTATGTCGTCCAGTGGAAAATCTGATCAATTAGTCTTAGATATTTAAACAACTACTAGCTATGCTCACCAAATCTCTCTTGTCAATATCTAGTAGATAAGTTAGCTTATCGGGTGCCCAGTCTCTATGTGCTATCATTCCTCTAGTTAGTCATGATTGAGAGTTAAACATATAAAGTAAACTTACCGTCATCTTCGACTATCTATATAATGGCAACTCTTCCTAAGCGATGGGGATAACGCTGTAGATCGATTAACCATTTCAGATATGGTAGCTGGGCTGTAATGCCAATATCGGTTGCCACAAAAAGAAAGTTATCCCAGTAACTTGTGTCTAAAGCCTTTCCGTACGGGCCATCTGCTAGTAGCCTAAGCGATCTAGCAGTGGCTAAAGATAGGTTTCGGGTAATCCCGAACTGAACTTTAGCGATCACGTAGATTCTGCTTGCCCTACTAGATTCGTCTTGATCCCACTAAATAATATTAAAAGGATGAGACTCTGCGAAAGATAATGGATAGATCCCATATGCCCGAAGAAAGATATAGTTACTAGGATGAACCTCCTAGGGATGAGGTAGCGCAAAATCTATTATGACGGCATCTACCAATGTCTGGCGCTGTCCGGTGATTAAAAACTGCTTTCTCGTGATATTGTGAAATAACTCCCGAGTAGTATAGAAGAATGTGTTCAAAAGAAGGACGGCGACTGAGCAAATCAGTAGCTATCTATTAAGACCGTAGCGATCCTTTATATATATCTATATCATCACTATAGAGAAGACCCCGATCACGAAGTGCAGCTTTATGTAGATTTCGTAGATATAACGGCGGATGCACGGAACTACAACGAGCGATAATATACCGATAGAGACTATAGCCTAACTAGAAAGTGTCAGTACTTGAATTCAATGCAAATCAATCACTTACGATGAAACCGTTCTTTTGATACTTCTATTATAAGTCGAATGGTACGGCTCGGATAGAGAGGATAATATGTAGCGAGGATTGAAAAACTCCTATAACTCTAATGGTCCTATGGAGCTGGTGATATGTTTGTAAAGAGATTCCGAAGAATGCGGTACCGAAAGTAAGACGGGGTACCATACTTATAAGGGCGAGATGTAAGATTGCAAGAGCCCCGGTACGAGTACGAGCAGTTTCTAACGTCGAAGCCCTGATGATATTGTATGTTATTGTACCTATAATATATAGGCAATAGATCATGGCTTGGAGTCTTATTAAAGGACCCCAGAGAACCCGCCTTCTAAATAGATATGGGAGTATTAGGTGCCTTGTAATCAGACCATATATACGGCGAATGCGAGAAGTTGGACGAGGATTGAAGTATTATTAGAGAAAAAGCAAAGTGGTAATAGCTGCCATAACATATAGGTAGAGCAAGAAAACCTCTATTTCTGATAATTCTAATAGAGTAAGAATAATGAGCCTGTACTTTGAAACTTTTTGTATCACAAAATTGCTACGCTTTTTGTGGTTATTTGTGAGTGGGGCAAAACCACGACTTTTGTATCTACGTTTTTTACTGATAAAACCTATTGATCGCTCAGTCGACTAAGAAAAACTATTATGCGACAAAGATGGAGCCCTAAGAAAATACTAACCATAACCGTGTATCTGTCTTTCCAAGACCAAGAAATGGGGAAGCACGGCTCAAGAGGCTGTTAGCTGATCAGGAATCCGCTATCTAGGGAACGAAAGAAAGTGCACAGAAGCTCTAAAAGTAAAGACAGGGGGTTTTCACCGCCTTATATAAGGCAGCCTACAATCCCTGGGAGCGATACCGGAAAAGTTTCAAAATTAATCAGGCCGGACCAAGTTGGATCGTTTATACGAACGATGCCACTTTCTCGGAGAGAATTATCAAGGAAGTGAAAAGTTCAAAAAGTGAATTATCTAAGATTATAACTAGTCCTTATGAGAACCTCGTCTATCTCTAAGAAGCAATCTATCACGAGGGGACGGTGTTTCTCGTATATGAGATTATAGATGTTTCCTTAGCTCAAGTCTTTAGTACACCGCTTGGCCGTCTTCAGCTCTTTGAAGTAGCAGCCTTTGCGCGCGGATTACTGACAGGAATTGAGTATATCCATAAATCTCTGAAGATAACCCACGGGTACCTATTATCCGACTCGGTTCTTCTATCAGTATCTGGTACTATTAAAATAGGTATATTACTACTTTAACAATATCTGAGCAGAAGCTAAGGGATTATAGCAAATTTGGGAACCTCGATGCTAGAAAACAAAACCACTAGCGAATCACAATGAGATATCGAAGCGGTTGGCAATATTATCATCGAATGCCTTGAACCGAGTACATTTCTGCTGAGGGGTGCCTCGCTTATGTCCGATTGGGGACCTGATACTCTGAATTTCGTCGAAAGCACAAAATCGCAATCTGCGATAAAACTTCTGAAAGTATATATATCCCCCGAAGCTGAAGATTAAGATAGAGCTGACTAGGTTTAGTATGACTTTCTACAGCGTTCTCCAGGCCTATGTTGCCTTAAGCTATATATTCGCCTTGCTCGAGAGTTAGCTGCGAAAGAGGTGGAAGTCTTTAGAGAATAAACGGAAAGATTTCGGATAGTCTGTATAATTGGGAGTTGATTTCTTTTATCCTCTTGTTTGCCACGCTACAGTCAAATGATCGTTACAATAAGTTGGATATAATACCTGTTATAGGATTTCCCCTATGAGTGGATCAGTCATAATACTGTAGCTTGAATATATCTAGATACCCCGATGAATCAATCGAGCGGAGGATTCTATCCATCGTAGGACCGAATATGTAGATTTTCTACTGATAATTATGCGCGGTTAGTCTAGGAGCAACAGGGAGCCGTGGTCATTCGTAGGATATAAGTTCCTCAATCATTATAATCGTGCGATTAGTCAGGATAGGCTTGCTTCTTCTGATAGAACCTATCCTGGGATAGACCACGGTTTTCCCTTTTCAGGCTATCCTACGCAGGCTTACTTCTTCTGATAGAACCTATCCTGGGATAGACCACGGTTTTCCCTTTTCAGGCTATCCTACGCAGGCTTACTTCTTCTGATAGAACCTATCCTGGGATAGACCACGGTTTTCCCTTTTCAGGCTATCCTACGCAGGCTTACTTCTTCTGATAGAACCTATCCTGGGATAGACCACGGTTTTCCCTTTTTAGGCTATCCTATGTAGGCTTACTTCTTCTGATAGAACCTATCCTGGGATAGACCACGGTTTTCTCCCCTTTTTAGGCTATCCTACGCAGGCTTGCTTCTTCTGATAGAACCTATCCTGGGATAGACCACGGTTTTCTCCCCTTTTCAGGCTATCCTACGCAGGCTTGCTTCTTCTGATAGAATCTATCCTGGGATAGACCACGGTTTTCTCCCCTTTTCAGGCTATCCTATGTAGGCTTACTTCTTCTGATAGAACCTATCCTGGGATGGACCACGGTTTTCTCCCCTTTTCAGGCTATCCTACGTAGGCTTGCTTCTTCTGATAGAATCTATCCTGGGATAGACCACAGTTTTCTCCCCTTTTTAGGCTATCCTACGCAGGCTTGCTTCTTCTGATAGAACCTATCCTGGGATGGACCACGGTTTTCTCCCCTTTTCAGGCTATCCTACGCAGGCTTGCTTCTTCTGATAGAATCTATCCTGGGATAGACCACGGTTTTCTCCCCTTTTCAGGCTATCCTATGTAGGCTTACTTCTTCTGATAGAACCTATCCTGGGATAGACCACGGTTTTCTCCCCTTTTCAGGCTATCCTACGTAGGCTTACTTCTTCTGATAGAGCCCGTCTGGGATGTAGTCTTCTAAGTTCCGAGGTATGATCTAACGGGAGGAAAGGGAAATCCTCTTTAAGATTACAGAATGGCGTTCAATGATCTTGAGACTTCTCGTCACTTGGTTGCAGCCTGTATAGGCTCCTTTAGAGTCTGAGGATTGAACCATACCACCTTCGAAGGGAACGATGTGTATGGATCTTAAGCCTTTAGGTAATCTAAAGTCGACAGTATTATCCATAGGTTCGAGCAGGAGGGATGTCGTCGACTCGATCCACTGACTTGGATTCCGTGCGAAGTAGCAGCTACAGACCTATAATAATTGGTAGAGCCTAGCTTATCTGCTGGATACTTTTAAGATTTATAGGTCCCAGAGGGAGTAAATCTTCACTGTTTCTAAGGCTAATACCGTATTGCTGCTGCACTTCAGTGGCTCGACCTAAACGACCATTAGTGGAATTTTGAGATATACGACTCCGCGCAATTGAATGATGCCTGTCGTAGAAGACTCTGTGAATTTGATCAAAACTCCTAAAACTTCGGTGATGGGGAGATATTTCGCAATATACGTTACTACTAACGGGGTAGAAAGGCAGAAGCTGCTAAAGAGTGGCTTACAAAATGGTTACCTACAAAATGCCGCGAATTTAACCGGATTTATTGTCCGAAAGTAAGTACAGCTGCGTTTACTTCTCTAGGAGATATGCTAGACTTATTACTTCTATTCTCGGTACTTTGGATATCCTGGTTTATAGGGACTTATCTCCTGAGCCTAAGATATCCTGAGGTAAGGAAGTCACTGATTTGGCTTAAACCCTTGAATAATATCCCTATAGGAGCTGGTGGATTTATTGTCGGAGATTTATAAGGTATGGCAGTCGCTGACTTATTAATTACCAGAGAGCTTAGACCCAACGACACTTTTACTGTTAGAGGGTCGATATCTACGCTTATCCCTTACAGATCGGGTGTACATTAAAGAAATATTCTGCAATAGGAGGGTATTTCCAGATATTTCTAATCCAGATATACGCTTGTAACTTCAGCATACCGCCCTGGGATACCCGAAAATTATACTATCTCTTCGAACTTTCCTAGAGAATACCAAATATCTTAAGGCAATGACAGGCGTTATAAAAAGGATATTGCCTCCAAAATTCAATGGTACTATACGGGAGTATATAACGAAATACTATGTTTCCCCTATTGGGCGGCAATATTAAGTTCAAACTTCTGAAAACGACTTTTCTCGGGAGGAAGGTTTAACCTAATATAGGTTTTGGGCGGCCTATAGATAGTTATTCCTCTTCGCTATGCGACATTTTTTCGGTCTTACTAATGTCCAGCCGCTTGCCTTGGGCTCTTATAAATAGAGGTTTGATACTTCTGAATTATAGAGGAGGTTCAATCTATGTGCAGCGAATGTCGGGTTCGTTCTACCAGGACCTAACGGCTCGACGAACTCGAGGTTAACGACTTCCGTTGAATTCGTTGCTATTTACCGATTACTTACCCGTTTACGTCCGCCTGATTTATTCGTATACGACGAGGCTAGGCTAGCCGAGTGTAGTAACTAGCTTGTATCTCTTCTGAATATGATGCCTGCGCGTAAAGTTGATAATATAATAGTATCTCAAAGTTGGGACAAAATCGAAGACTGGAAATTTGAGGAGCGTTGTGGTATGATAACTGCGGATACTTTCTTCTCCGATCAGAAGTACCTGTTCTTGCATAATATATATTCAAATGACCAGCCTGCGCGCGTAAGTATGACGTCGTTTGCTGTGAAGCGGGATATTTTCAGGTCATTCTTTCTGGACTTTGATAGCGACAGTCATATGGACGAAACAATGACACTGGCCCCAGAAATACCTACCCCAGTGATTCCAGTACCAGCACCAACGATTCCAGCACCAACGATTCCAGCACCAACGATTCCAGCACCAACGATTCCTGCCCCAGCAAATCCTGCACTTATGGATCTGGATAGCCTAACGATGGCCCCTGGAGCAATGGTTCTATACCAGCCCTAGGTACCTCAGCCATCGAATCAAAATAAACTAATAAACATTATATATTAGTCGACGACAGAGTGCCAGTGTCGGGTTAATATGAGCCCTGACGCCTTTTATTCGTCATGCCAGTCATTTGTGAGGGAAAATCCTTGTGTTATATTCTTCGACATATCGTCTAATATGGCGTACTTCATCCGATAATACGATGATACTAGACTAGCTAACCTATGTACTGATAATTGTCGCTGGTTTGCACGTGTTCATTCGGTTACACTCGCCTTTCAGACACTCACTTTAGGTGAAGTCAGGGGATACTGTCGAGCGGGTTCATGTATAATATTCACTGGAATAGGGGATTTCAGTACCACCCTTGTACCAGTAGCTACAGAGAGCATTTCGTTCCCTAAGTTTCAGTCGAACGAAAATCAATGGATAGTGTGAAAATAGTTAAATGTAACTTACAAATTAAAGATAAATCCTATGATACCTGAACAGTGCCAGTTTCAGTTAGGTTGATATGAGCCCTAACATATTTTATTTATCCTGCTTGCTACTTATAAGCGGTAATCTGCACATTGTTTCGTTTAATATATGGGACAGGACGGTTCGTTTCATACGATACTCATTACAGCGACGATATACTAGCCAATTTGTGTAGTGAGGATCGGTGGTTTGTAAGAGCCTATCGAGATACACTTGCTCTCTAAATACCCCTAAGTGAGATAATATTGCCTGGCGAGTAGTTATATTATATCTCACGGGATACGAAATTTCAGCTCTATACTCACCCCGGCGACTGCCGAGGGGCTTTTATTACCGAATTTACCGAATTTGACCAGCGATTAATGAAATGGAAAACTTAATTCATATAATCAAAGATAAATCTTGTGATGCTTGGCTAGATGGCTCTTATATCCAGGAAGAGATATACAAACACTCAAATATTCAGGAATATCACATTGGCGACCTGAGCTTTCGAAAAGGTCTGGCAGATGATGACCTTTAAAATGAACCTGAAGTACGTCCTTTTGTGAGTACTTATATAGCCTGGCGATGGGGTCCAAGCCTGTATTCCCTAGGCATATAGGATATTCTAGTCTAGATGAGCTTTCCATTAGAACCACTATTTGTCTTAATGCTTCCTTCGGTCTACCTTTGAACATAATTCGGTTTTTTAAGGCCTTGGGCATATGAAGGCTGTTTAGTTTCAGTTATAGCTCGAGAGATCGAATGCGGTCTTCAATTAATTCCGTATCATCGATCATATCGATATCCCTATTCTTGAATTTAAGCTCGGCAAGCGCAATTCTCTCCGGCTAAATATGACTGACGTCTGGAGTGAAAGTGACCGGAGTACCTTGCTGGTTTTGCTCAATGATCCTGTTTCTAATACTATCGAAGAATTTCTTCTAGGCTTCCTTTTGAGCGCGGCGTTCTAACTTTTTTCGTTTTATCCGGATCTTTTGTTGCAGTCGCTTCATTTCAGTGAACTGTGTATCTGACGCTCCCTCCGCTTTCCTTAATATATAGAATTCTGATATGAGTACGTCTCTGGTGGACTTAACCGCCTTTTTCATATCTTGAAGTTTGGCATCCGTTTCGATAGACTCTCTTTACTCTGCATTTAGGTATTGTGGCGCTGATTCATCCTGTGTCAGATTGCTATGGCATGCGAGATTCAATAAAGAATCCCTCGTCGGGGTTTGCATAAAAATGGATTGGGTGTTATTAAACACGGATATATAATTTGAAAAAGTTGTACTTCTTCGGTGACCTATGATTATATTACGTGAGTGCTTATCAAGATTCCCTAAAATTTGTTAGTATCTAATTTATCGATCTCTAGTTTCTCTTCGTTATACTCAAGTTTTCAGCTGCACCTTTGTGGTATTTATAGAGTGATCCCTCGTCTGGGAATCTAGCCTTTGCGCTAGCCTTCTTTTCGTATTCTTATACCTGGGAATATGAAAAGCCGGCTGTATAGTCAGTGGCCTAAGCTCCGGTTTTTGTTCTTATAGTGTGCCTGAAAATGGGGATGTTTTTAACGTAATCCTTAAAATGAATAGGAGTGCTGTGGCGATGGTCTGGAACGTTTGTGAAGCGCTAAATATCTCGAGGACATTTGATATACGGACTTGCAAATGTATTATTAAGAAAAGCATATATAAGTATATCTTGGATAACGTATAGTCCGAGATTGTCGTTTCTTTCAGTATACGTGAATGTAGGCCTACTGATTGTGAGACTGAATCATAGTTAATGGTATAAGAATAGGACTCACGGGGCTCCTTGATTTCTCTTTCCCTTATTAAGCCTATGCCTAGCCCTTATAAGAAGAACTTAGGAATTAGTATATTCGGGGTATTTGACCATATATAGGTCAATATCTTTCTATTTTAGTGTGTCATTTTCCTCCTCGTAATATGAAGACAGTACAAGGGTTCCAGGTTAGGCTAAAGTCGAGACCATTATTTTCTGTAGGGTATTCAATTAAAAAAGAACCCGGACTGTGGGAAATGCTATATTGTAAGTAGCTACCAAGTGACGTGTGATGAAAAATACCTCGTTGATGCTAAAGGGCGGCTGCTCTTTCGCGGTCTTATCAAGATCGTGCTTTATAGCTATTGATTGGGCCAGCTTGTCAAGTAAGTGAAAGGACTAGAGATTAGACTGTAGAAATCATACCGAACTAATATCCTTTCTAAGTTGATAAGGAAGGTAAAGGCCCCTTTCATCCATCTAGTACATTCTGAAAAAGCGCACAATTGTCATGAAGCTGGACTTGTAACTTATATCATGCTCTTCCAAATACCACTTAAGAAAGCCTTCAACTATCCTTAGTGTGATATTTTCAAGCCAATATTTGTAGTCTTTGTTATCAAGTTCTTGCACCCATCTGAAAGTTCTTCAGTTAGTTAAAGCATATAGATCAAATAAGTAACGGTATAATACCTCTGAAAATTAAAATGGATTCCCCTCAACCGCTCCTCCGTCGATGGGACTTTGTTGGTCTTGACTATTGGATCCGGCTGGCGTACAAATGCATTCCAGTCTCTAACCTGCTTTTGTGGCTTTCGGGGAGGCATTCTGATATGTATGGGCTTGAAGGGGAGAGATTGATTAAGATCTAGGTAGAGGGGGAGTGTACGATATTTAACCACTGCGAATCAAGATAATAATAACAACCAATGCGTAGTGAAAGTACAAATTTGGAAATCAATTAATTGTAGCCCATGATAAAGCCGCCGGGCTTATTGACATACAGCACAGCAAGATCCGGACAATTATGCGCTAAACCCAGTTGGACATAGGCGCTAGTTCCCATAACATCTATAAAATCGCCTATACGGAATCACCACGATTATCTCCCACAAAACCACGCACAACCGTGGTCTTTCCGCTGTCCCCCTGGATTACACCATATCGGACGGTTAGAATTTCTTCCACAAATTACGTCTTTTGGACTAGCATCCGCTCTTCGGGTTTAGCGTCTCCTGCCCCTCCACGCCGCCGTGCGTGGTTCTATGAAGTCCCCTTGTCCCAGGGTGAATAAAGAAGAAAAAGAAAGTTACACCTACTTAATCAATTGTGATGACCTCGGGGCCATTATTATCTAGGTCGATAGGATAGGATGCTGTTCTAATAGCTAACTAACCTTGTGGAGGCGTTATCTAAACTGGGGAAGCGGCCCGTCTTCTTGTTCTATTTCGGGTGCTGTTAGGGAACAAACTGGATTGCAACAATCTACAGTGCTTCCTATATACAAGAAGGTTTCGTTAAGGAACAGGAAGGAAAGGGGTAAACACAGGCGTAAGTATGCTCGTACGAGGCGGTGAGAAGTCACGAGACTCCCCAGTCGAGTACTCAGGTGCTATTACTATCTCGCACGGAGTATCGAGATGTATGATCTTAGAACTTATATCTGCTATATGCTCTACCGACGTTGTAAAGAAATACTAGTTGTCAGGCTAGTCCTGTTGGTCAGGCGAGTTGAATAGTGGGAGGGAGAAACGTATGGTATTCTTTCTGCAGAGACTAATTCTTCCTACGTCTAGGTTACTATAACGGGCCAGTGCCCGGTTGATATCACGTGCGTACGTGACCTTCCCCACACCCCCTTTTATTTACGTTCGACCCCGTCAACTCTCTCTTCTTTCCTTAAGCTTTTAGACAACTGCAAACGGCTTAGTTAGTCTGAATCAAGACTGGCTACGTCCCTTCACACCTCCCCCTGAATCTTGGACTTAGCAAGAATTAGTCTCTGCAGAAGGAATACCATACATTTCTCCCCCCACTGTTCAACTCGCCTGACCAACAGGACTAGCCTGACAACTAGTATTTCTTTACAGTGCCGCTATACTAGTTCGATTTTACGCGTTTCGTGTTCTAGATCGAACTATAAAAGGACTGGCGAATAGAGTTCGTTCAAATCAGTGATAGTGACACTAGGTGTAGATGACGCGTAGACGTGCATTTCTCTAGGAATAGTAGCAATATTGTGGTATGATCACGGGGACGCGGCGCTCGTATCTTCGAGATCTGCGTAGACCCGACCTAACACCGAAGTCGCCTTTTACCGAAATCCTTATTAGTTTCAAGATTGATTAGTATAATAGATAAGATAGATAGATATGAACCTGGTTTATTTTTGCAGAAATAGCGTCGTGTAGACCGGATATAATATATCTCACTAATGCTCCGTCCTACGCGTTTCGTCTTCTATCCTAAATTATAGAATAACTAGCAAGTAGAGCTTTACAATCGGTGGTAATAACACTATACGCGGATGTGTTATAGATTATCCTCGTTGCACACGAACGAACGATATGACATATATATTAAGTGATACTATCCCTCTATACTATTACAAAAAGTAATCTACGTAGATATATCTCGATATCTGCTGAGACTAAGGAAATTGCACGAAGGCTTAAGAGTGTGAAATAAATACAATCGATCAGGACCCTACTTAGTCACATTTGGTCTTCACTAGAAAATTGTTAGTGACTTCCCGTCTACCTCCAGTCGGATTTTGATCCTAATGCAGCATAGCCTCTGCGTGTTACGTGCCAGGTTCTCTTTAACGAAAGAAGTGCATTCTAATCAAATATCAAGTATGAAGAAAAAAGGAAAAGAAAACAAAACGTAAAACAATAAACGGGTCCTTATACCCCTTCGGGGGCAAAGCCCTATCCTCGCTTAGCTATAAAGGAAGGTACGATTGCTTGCGTAAACGACTAACGGTACAATCCTAAACGGGAAGGTATAAGTTCTACATATGCCAATCGTAATATAACCCCTGGGCGAGAATACATTTAGTCCCTAAATACTAGCTTCTCGTTATCCACGTGGTTATCTAATATTCGATCATCCTACGCAGCCTCGATCTATTCTTATAGATATATCGGTAGTCCGGGCTTCGCTAGATAGGTATTGTAGAATTCCTTGATTATCTCTAGAATATTCTTAAAGTTACCGGCTAGGTACTATATAGGATCTAGGTTATATCCTAACCACTATATATAGTACTACAGCTTCCTATAATACTTTCTTATATCTAGGATCTTTTTAACTTCCTACTTATTAGTCTATCCTACCTATATCGGAGGTAGTGGATCTATATATTATCCTATAAGTAGTTCTATACTCACTACCTTCCGCAGCTTACTTAGGTTAAATACTAGGTAGACGTTAATTAACTGTAGTAGTTCTAACTTATATATATTCCTAACCTTTTCGATAATCTTATAGGGTCTACTAGTTATATAAGAGAGTTTTCGACTTAGATAGTCCTATAGCTAATCTTTTATAGTAATAAAGACTAGGTCGCTAATATCAAAGTCCTCTTTATAATAATAACAGTTGGCCTATTATATTTATAGTTCCTATAACTTCGCAATTTATTTATATATATCTTCCTAGATTTATTATAACTTTAAGAGTCGATCAGCCGCTTCTTATTTATTATACATCAGTCCTATATAATTCTAATCGAAAGATATTACTAGTTTATAACCCTATTTAATAAAGAAAGGGGACCTCTTTATTATATCCTATAGAAGAATTGATACCATGAAATCTACTATTAGTAGGTATTCTAACTAGTTATCCTAGTTATATTTAATATATAGTCTTAATCGCTATACTATAAACTAATTTATAATTTCACTCTAGCTATCTATCTATAGGTGGTATATAGTAGATAGTTTTCGCTTAATCCCTAGGATTCTATAGAACTCTATCTAGAACTTAGAGATAAACTATCCTCCTTAGTCTAATATAATAGTTTTAGGGATTCCTATAATCTATATAACATTATCTATAAATAGACGCACTATCTGCTTTATATTAGTATCTTTATAATAGAGGATTGATATTAGTCTTTTACTTAGTTAGTTAATAATAACAAATACTATATTATAGCTATATCTATCCTTTAGGAAGGAATAGAAATCTATTAATAGATATTACTATAGTCGTTTAGGAATCAGTAGTAGGTATAGGAGACTAGGTATACAATCTCTCTAGGTCTTTATATATTTATATATTAGATAGTTATCTATATATCGCTTTATATCTATAACCTATCCTAGCTAATAGTATCTAGTTACAATAAGCTTCTTAAGTTTCTTAATACTAGGGTATATAGTTAGTGGTTATCGGTATATCTTATTGAGTAACTATACTTAAAGATCCCCTTCATTAGGTACTTCTAGATAATCTTTAAATAATAGTAATTTATCTTATACTACCTAATAGGGATCCGTTTAATCTCTTATAATCTATTAGAATACTTCTAGCTCTAGGTTCTAGCGGTTTACTAACTAGACTTATTCGGTTATATCTAGGTCCTATATAGTTTTAACCGGTAGGGGGAGAACCTTAGTATCTTATATAGGTTCTATCTATAAGGGAGATACCTTAATTTCTAATACTAGTTCCATTTCTTCTCCGAAACATTCCTTAGAGAGTAATATAAGGTATCGACTGATATCTATATAGGGACTTTCCTTTCTTAAAAGGATATCTATAATAATATTCTATTTCCTAGGGTAGTATTTAATTATAAAGTAGAACTATAAGAGGAACTCACTCTACTATACTTACCGTTAATTTATCTATTATACTGTTATAAAGTATTCGAGAGATTAATAATCTATAAGGATCTCGAAATATTCTATATAAGAGAGTCCTTTAAGTTCTAGGCGCTATTCCTAGAGTATATAAATAATCGCGAGGAATTCCTTATCCCTGATTTTATAATTAAGCTCTATAGGTTATATAGTCTTTAAGAAGAAGGTAATAGGATACTAAAAATCGTCAGCCTTATGATATTATAAGAGAATAGTACTAATAACTCTATTTAAGGTATCTATCTCTATATAGGTCTAGAGGTCTAGATTATAGTACTATAGGATAGGTATAGTTATTAACTTATACTTTAATTATATAAATGCTTACTTATAGTCTAGTAACCATTTATATACTATATTATATTATATAAGATAGTATAATAGTTTCAAAAGGAAACTATAATCCTTAATAAATTGTCGATAGAAGTTATAGAATCCTAAGAAGGATTATATTCCCTTAATTATTAATAGTATCTTCTAGTTTCTAATAACTATAATCTTCTCTAGATCTACCGTAATACCCTTAGTACTTATAATAAATCCTAAGAACTTAGTTTTCTATATAGAGAATTCATACTTAGATAGTATAACCTATAATCCTACCTTTTATAGTTATTCGAGGACTTCTCTAATATATTTCTTATATTCTTTAAGTATCTCACTATAGATTATAATATTATCTATAAATATAACTGCGTAGTTATCTATATAGTCTCCGAGTACTATATTTATAAATTACTAGAATATTACTAGACCATTTATAAGACTAAACGGAGTTACTTTATACTTAAATAATCTATATTAGGTATAGAATATTATAAGATCTTCTATAGCTAGTATTAATCTAATATAGTAGAAACCTTAATAGATATTGAGCTTTATAAAGAACTTCGCTTTACTTATTCGTTAGAATACTTTATCGATAAGGGGTAATAGGTAATAATCTTTCCTTATAATTATATTTAATCTTTAGAAGTCTATATAGAAACGTAGACTACCGCCTAGCTTCTTAGCTATTAAGATCGGTAAGGTATATAGAGCTAAACTAGGTATAATAAATCCTTTTTCGAGGTTATTAAGGATATACTATTTCGCAGCCTTTAGTTTATCTAATAATAATTTATAGAGTAGATAGTATCCTAGCTATACTTCTACTTTAAGGATGATTTTATAGTCTACCCCTAGGTAATATAGTAGTAGTTTATTAGACTTCTTCTTAGAGAATACTTCTATAAGATTATAGTATTCCTTCGGAAGGGTTTATTTAATCTTATTAAGTTCTATATCCTTTATAATTATAGATTTAATATTAATAATCCAATTAATTTTATAGAGTAAGGTCTAGAAGACTTCGATATCTTTATTAATAACTATCTATATTTATAAACAATTAAATCCTACCTAGCCGATAATACTAATATCTATTAGTAGGAGAACTTCCTTTATTTCTTCCTCTGGTACCTCTATTCAGAGAGGTACTAGTTCGATTTTATTATTTAGGTTTTATACTATCTTATAATACTCTTTGATTTACTAGTATCTATATTAATACTCCCTTATAATAGGGTATAGCTTCTAAGTCTTTAGGTCCTGCTATAGATTACTTAAGACTTATTTCTTAAAGAGATAATTATATTATTCTATATCTTTCTAGTAATCCGGCTTAATTTATATAGGCTGTTTAAGGATTATTATAGGTACTAGTACAGCTAACTATCCTACTACCTTATTAAAAAGGGTGTTCTTATCCGGCTAGATTATATAATACCGTCGGTAGTTAAGGAGGACATCGTTCTCAGCGAACCATATATATCTGATAATCATATTATATCTACCTAGATCTACTACTAGTATAGGAATCTACTATTAGATCCAGTTGTCTATACTTAGTATAAGGATGATAGTATATATAATCGGTTAGGATAATTTACTATCGAATCCTCTAACTAGATACTCGTAGTCTAGCTTATAGGTATATAATCCAAATTTCTTACTAAGTAGTATAACTAGTTCTATATTAATAAATATTAAGCTATCTACTCTAGTATCTACTAGCACTAAGATTATAAAGGAACGTCTATTATAAGTTAATCTTATATTAAATACTAAACTATCTCATAGACCTCCTAAAAGCTTATATAGATCTAGTATATATAGCGATACTTATTTCCTACCTAGGATTAAGACTTCTCCTAGGCTATCACTTTTCCTAGGTCTACATTATCCTCCAATTCTTCGAGTTTAGTTATATATAACTAGCTGCGGGTCTGGTTAGTTATAGTAACGGTACTTATAGCTATATTCACCTTTTTCTTTAGGTATTCGAATATTATATACCCCTTCTCCTTATAGTAGAAGTATTAACCCTCCTTTATAAGAGTCTCTTACTCTATAGCTAATAGGCTAGATAATAAGGTAGCCCCTTTATACTTTATATATAGGGTAAAACTAGACTAGTTAATAGTAGTCCTAGCTCTACTTCTAAACACAGTTATTATATAGGTATATATAATATCCTTTACTTCCTATTAGAGACTAATCTTATAGGATATACTCTAATAACTCTAGGTAAAGGTATCGAAAGGAACTATTTCCTAATTAATAGCCTATATAACTTAGCTCTATAATAGATATAGAAGTTTTAAATATAGGTTATACTTACAATTTTCTTTAATAACCGCGGCTTCCTCTATAAGTTATATAAATTTAGCTAAGAAGTCAGTAAAATCTTCCTTAGGTTTTATCTTAAGTTTATAGTAGGCTATATATACTTCTATATAATAATTTAGGTTTATAAAGATAGTATAGAGGTAGATAATAATATCTTCTATATCGATATATAGGTTATTAGAGGTTACACTTATTTATAAGGTAATATATAGCTATACTTTACCTTTATATCAGCTTTATATATATAGCTTCTAGTAAACTAGTAGTAGGTAGTAATTGGCATTTACTTCGAGTTTCTATCTAATAACCATTTCCTATATTTCGAAATAGACTTCCTTTCTATCCTTTAGTATTAGTATATTAGGTATCTTTATAGATCTCTAGCTAATAACTCCTATAATCGGTATATTACTTTAGGCCTAGTTTATTTCGCTCTAAGTAAGAATAAGGCAGTAGGTAAGGTCATCGCGCTTATATATAGTAATATCTCTATAAGTAGTAGCCTTATTATATTCTTCTATAGCTTAGTTACATTCTATTATAAGGCAATCTCTTTCTATATAGAATCGATCATATTCCTCTATAATTTATTTAATAGCTTCCTTAGACTTTCCGTTCTCTATAATTAGGATTTAGATTTCATCTTATATTATCTAGTTATTATCTTCGACTATTTAGAACCAATTAGCTAGCTTAACGAATTATTCCTTACTAGGAGTTATATATATAATCTCTTAGATAGAAGGAGTCGAAGGACCCTCCTTAGGGCCATTATATTTAATACTTTTAATTAGGTCCTATATTCTAGTAGGAGTCGGGGTTTTAAGGTTTACAGCTTCTTCTATAAGACAATCCGGCACTATAGGTTATTTTCCCTTACCAATCGCAGCGATCTATTATGGTAGAACTATAGCTAGTCCCATTCTGGTTAGTTTCAGGATAGGTAGGGTGAAACCGGACTAGGACTAATTATAATAATTATCTGTGCAGTTGTGCGGCTTTAAAAGTTTGGGTTTAGGGTAATACTTAATATTATATTACGTGCTAGGTTCTCTTTAACGAAAGAAGTGCATTCTAATCAAATATCAAGTATGAAGAAAAAAGGAAAAGAAAACAAAATGTAAAACAACAAACGGGTCCTTATACCCCTTCGGGGGTAAAGCCCTATCCTCGCTTAGCCATGAAGGAAGGTACAATTGCTTGCGTAAACGACCAACGGTACAATCCCAAACGGGAAGGTACGAGTTCTACACGTGCCAATCGTGACACTGCGTACGAATAAGGGGTTCTACCTTATCCTAATCATGGAGGCCCCGTGATCCGCGCTCTCATATAAGATCAAATTCCTTGACATATTGACCCATCCATCGCCCCATAATCAAGTATGCCATGGTTACTCGAGTCTTTCCATCTGACGTTAACCTCAAAATCTACTGAAGTCGAGATGAACTCAACATGCGGCATCCAAGGACAGGCAAGCATCGATATATGAGTCAGGTTTCTCCCTGATTCATCAGACCACAAAACTGAAGCTCCATTTTCCAATAGGAAGCGACGGATCGGGGCTCGGTTCAATATCAAAATTAGACGTTCGCAGACAGAGAGGTTGAGTGGGAAACTGACTTCTATATCAATACTATTCACATTCGCTCCATGAATCAACAGCGTGAGAATGAGTGCTTGTTCCACCGACAAGGTCGTAGATTTCACATGGCTCCGCATGGAGGGAGGCTAGAATCGTGGCACATATCATTCAATCAATAACAATCATCTATGCTCTAGAACTTCCTTGCTGCTCTTCTGGAGTATGTAATCAAACGCACCCTATAGCCCTTTCTTCGATAGAAGGGTGTTAAAGGCCCTATGGAGCGACTCCATCACCACGATATCAATATTGCTCTCGGCGAACATGTCAGCTAGATCAGTGAAATCCAGTTGCCCACCTCGTTCCGCAACAGCCCATATTTCCTGCACCATTTTGCGCAGAATTGCACTTCGGCACCGAGGATCATCTACCGCAATAGCTAAATTTTCCGTAATGAGAGACATTCGGCAGAGGTTGGCTTCAGATCCTCTTCTTCTCTCCATTCGATGCCTTGCCATTATATCATCATAGATACCGCGGTAGTAGGCGAGAGATTCGGGCGAATCTTCCCATACACCTTCTGGTTCCACCCCATGTTCCATAGACTCCTTATATCCGTACATAGCTGGGTCCCAGTCGCGCGTAAGCCACCCGGGATATCTTTCGTTGCCAAGAGTACGAGGCACAGCAGCGATCCCATCCCAATCGATAACACCTCGGAGCTCGCCCTCTTCGGATACGATGAAGTTCTGGATATCAAAGTCTGGATGTGCAAGGACAAAGGGATCCATACTACTAGGCTCAGAGATCCAGCTTATTAACTGGCGTAAGAGCATTGCGAGACCCCTAGGAACCTTGTTTCGTTCGGGGTGCATGTCGAGCATAAGGGTGTAGTACGCTTTCGGGTCGCTGGATGCCGCACACTCGATATAGATAGGGTCATCGTCTGGATCTTTATGAACGAACCATCGGTCAAGCATAGCCTTATGATCGACTCGTCGCATAGACCCGATATGAGATGGGTTGCCATCGTTTCCAAAGAGAAGACGGCCGCCGGTTCGAAATGAAAACCTGTCTAGCTGCACCATTGCCGAGGCGATGCTTTCAAGGGCGCGAATTCGGCGTAAATGGGTGGTGTCAGGACAGGCACCTTTTAGGCGGTGTCCAAACCAGACGTTGTATAAAGGGATTCCGGAAATAAAGGTCATGATAATATAAGGGCATCGAAGAGTGTTTTGCGTGGTTGAGGAGAAGTCCAAAACATCAGGTAGAGGGATGGTGGTCTCACGCTTCAAGAGGCGCATTGTGTTTGCCTCGGAGATCAGGGCCGAGGCAGACAACTCATCCCATTTGCTTGCCGTGCCGTTAATAGGGATTTTCGCGATCCAGCGAAGGCCGATATCAAACGTCAACGGGAAGAGTATGTGGTAAGATCTATACAGAGGCTCGCCGACCGAGGGTTTCGCATTGGTGGTTCGATGGAGGGGTTGGAGGCGCCGTAGAATGGCGTTCGCAAGCAGGGGCAACTGCTCTCTGTCAAGCGTCGAGAGAACTGCAGAAAATAATTCTGCGTTTTCATCATCCTCAGAAGAAGGCGAAGAAGGCGAGGAAGGCGACCGTTCAATATGCTGCTGTTGGGCCATTCTGGTCTGTAGAGCAGGGCGAGCGAGCCAGGAGAAACTGAAGCGACGAGTTCGGGGGTGGGGGGCTAGGCCAAGGCCATTCTACCACTCTACCATCTACCCTTCTACACAGGGAGGACTAAGAGATATATAAGGACACTCATTCATGTATCTAGTTTATTTCTTCATCTTCAATTACACATTGTTACTAGTGGTTACCTTTCGATTACCAGTGTGACTCTTGACTTGATTATAACTTGACAACACCCACGAGTAGGACCAATACTCCGGTATAGATCTACTCGGCGCTCTACCTGGCACCGTTCCGCGAGACACTCGAAAGAGCCTAACCTGCAGTAAGGCCTGTTGGCAACAGTGCGGCTGAGAGACAGATCGTTGACGTTGGAAGATCAGAGACCTATTGCAAGTATAACCCGTGATCTACTAACCCTAACTGTGACCAGTTTGCAGTGCGTAACAGGCGCTAGGATGTACAAGTGCTATATGAATGAAGCCCGGCTATACCTAGTCAGGTTTAGTGTATATGTAAGAAGTGCTGTATAAATAAACGCCGGCTATACCTAATCAGGTCCTAGTCTATTCATAACCGCACTATACTAACTTTATTCTTGCCTGCACGGAAACACCACAGTTTTCTTAGTATAACACCACGTAGAATCATGGTCTCTCCGTCGGTACACCCTATTACACCATATCGGATGAGGACTGTAAATTACTTCTGTAGATTTAAACTTATCACTTTAGTTTAGCGCTCGCGGGTCTCTGTGCGTGCCTGTGCGTGGTTGTATATACATAGTGTTCAAAAAGTCTGTCCCCCCAACAACCATCGTGTTTTTTTTCCTTCTTCCTACACACCCCCTAATGGTATTAAGCTAGTGAGCTCGAGAACAGTCGTTGAGCAGGGTTTTGGTTCTGCCCAGGGAGGCAGACGCGCCGAGCGAGACATGAGATCGAGGAGTGAACCTTGACCAGGACATCCTCACCCCTTGACAACAGTCGATACCTTCGGGTCAAACTGTCTACCCAATTCTACTCACAAGATTTATTCTGCGGTCACCAATGTCCTCGTTAGATTCACGGATCCCTGGTATCGATCGGCAAAAGGAGACGGGCCTACTCCCGCAACAGTGATTTGTGAGTGGATACGAATGGTGCAGCTGCTTGCGCGTCAGTTGGCCTCCCGGTTTCATTCTCCTTCCTGGGCTTTGGAACAATTGGCGAACAGAGCTGGATCAGACTAGTGGCGATGAAACTAGGTGCAGGCCGACTTGCAGTCTTCTTCCCGAAATAGCATCACTATATATAGTGGTCTACTGGAATGGCCATGCACTGCGCATTAGACAGGGGATCATTGGTAGATAGCTCTCCGTCTGAATGTGATGCTGTCGGGTGCTATCAGCGGATGGGGATAATAATAGATCACCACGTCCGCCTTGCGTTGATGGGGACAGTCGGCCACATATAAAAGTCTGTATCTCGCACCTCCACGAAATCAAGAATTGTCTTCCATTCATCTCCAAGCTTACGCTATATCAGCCATCAAATCTTCGATTTCACTACCTATTCCAGTTATAATGAGCTATTCCGATGAACTGCCGGAAGCCTCTGGTAAGAACCCCCTTGAAAGCATGCTCATTCTTTATTGGAAATTGTGAAGCATCCACGAAGCCTTGGGATACTAAGCTGGATAGCGCGAAATATAGCCCATCAAACTCAGTTTCCAATCTTCGCCTTGACATTGGTGAGCTAGCGGAGACCCTGACTTACGATACAAGCTGGCCTCGCCCGAACGAGGAGGTAGAAATCGACCTAGCTACTGTTCTCACTGTATGCTATTAGTACAGTGACCCGCGTGCTAGTAAAGATGATACCTAGGCCACGCGGAAACCAATAGTTAGACCGCCAGGCTGTCCAACTTGCGCCCTGAACTTGCGCCCTGACCTATCCTTCTAGGCTAGGGACCGAGTATTGTCTTACTCCATTGGGCTCAACTTCCAATCCCGTCCTGACGCATGCCGATGAGGATTAGTATCTTAGATGTCCTTTATAGGAAATATTCAGTCCGCCCATAATGTTGGAGATCAGGTGATCTCTCTCTCTATAATGTATAGGTCTTTAGCTTCCTCTCTTCTTCTTCTTCTTCTTCTTCTCTCTTTCTCTCTTTCTCTCTCTCAATAAATCAATGAGAATAAAACCTTTCCCTCTTCTTCTCCAATACATAACGTCGATGAAGAAGCGGTCTCCCGGTCCGGGTACGGAGGCCAATACTACAGTGGTTGAGAATAATACTGCTTCAGTGGGCTCGGCTACCATTTCCACTGTGACTCTCGTCGAAGGAGCTTGTTCCCAGAGGACAGACCGTTCTGATATAGACACCGAGAGAATGACCTTACGGGAATCCGGGACGGAATTCTGGGTAACTCTGGCACACGAAGATGTTGAAGCGCACACGGCCGAGACATTCTCGACAATCGAGCCGCTAGCCTATAAACACACAGAAAGCCAGCAAAATCATCTCAGCTATCTTCAGGAAATTCATAGTCCGCCAATGACCTCGATTATTACATGTGAATTGGCCGAACACCACACTGGTTTCCCCAGCTTGGGCACAGAAGAAGTGCTAGAAGATGGCCCTAATTCACTGTGCTCTGCTTCAAATAAATACGATTCTCAATTTGACGAGGCTAGGTCAGACATTCCCGATGCCGACACCGAGGTCATGACCTCGCCGGAATTTTGGGCGAATGTAGCACACGAGAACGCAGACTGCGCAGTCTCGACAATTAGACCGCCAGCATTTGAGAATAGAATGCTTAGAGTTAATGCGACCACCGAAACGCAAGTTATCACTTGAAGACGCCACGAGGGTAGTGACTCGTTTTGTGGCCTTCAAGTAGTTATTAGGCGCTCAATCCCTCACTAACCTTCGAAGGGACTACCAGCGGTGTATAGCTCTCGCTTTCTTAACGTTTGACAATTTTTTTATGCCGGCGGGTACACCACCTGCAGCTACTCCCTCATGTTGAGATTCGAATGGCAGGATCAGCAAAGAATTACTCCAATAAAGGGTTTGGATCAATATGTCTCCAGCATGACAAGGGTCAAGGCTGTCATATATTATTGGACCGAGAGCGTTGGCTAAAGCACAAAACCAATGTGAGATCCCGTGCATTAGCGCGAGGCTGTGCCACATATATAATTGCGGTCGATGTCAGGAGTGATATCTTTCTACGACGAAGTTATAGAGCCTCATTCCTCCAGTCTGACGAAACATTATTGGTCCAAAAAGAGTTTGGGACCGTCTAACTCAAAGCCGGTATACGGCTACATGGAGTACATAGGCTTCAAAAAAAGGACTCTAGCCATTGTAGTAACGACGTACAAGCGGGGCACAGCGCCCACTTTCTTAGCGCTTGGCCGACTTGTTTGGCCCGACGACTATATCAAGACAAAAGCTTCGGAACACAAAAACAGATTCACTCACTGTCAAGTCCAATCGCTGCAGTGAGTCGCTTTTGATATTCATCATCCAATGAATGATAATCTCTCCATATGCGAAGATTGACGTGGATCCATAAACAGGGGTCAACTATGTGAAATCAATAAGAAGTTTGGTGGCTGCATAAAATAAGGCTTGATCTTTTTGTGTTACTCTTAAATTGTTAAGACTAATCGTTCTCTAAGCACTACCGATCTGCAAGTAGGGCGACAAGCGGTAATTTTGGATGGCAGAATAGAATTAAGACCCACAATTACCAACACAGACATGATTTAACGGTCAAAAAGCTCGGCGAAGGAGAAAGAGAAGAAGGCTGCCAAAGATTCCTAGTTGGCAATACTAGAGAGGATGAGATCTCAATGCAGCGGGGATCTTTGATAAGTGACAGAAATATGCAGTACTAAACTTCCAGAGCGGATACAGACTAGCGAACTTGTTTCAAGGTACTCATGCTGTAAAGCAAGATTAGCATTAGGATACTCGACTAGGTACTAGGGAAGGTTTGAAACCCATATCGCCGTACTGTTCAAATAGAGTTCTCAAGAATTGCGTGGCGTCATACTGAGGCGTACATTGAGCTGGCTGTGGACTCGCCATTTCGCCTATTTTTTGGAATCTTACAGATTATTTACGCTTGTCTTCGAGGCTCTTGAAAATTCAAATCTTTCTAATTCGAACCGCCGGACGTCTTTGCCCTGCCATGGCCTGTTCTGATTGTACGCATACCCTTTCTAGCTCTGAAAAGGGCGACGAGCTATCGGACCCCAAGATGCTATCTTTACCTGGGGACAAAACACCAGAAGAAGCTCGTCTAGAGCGAGAAGGATGTATCAGGAATCTCCAAGTGTTTCGATACAATCTCTACCAGAAAGAGTCAAAGGCCTATGATTGTGACGCCTTTGCCGACCTACTCTACTACGAAGAGAAGTTGCGAAGGAATTGTCAATCGGAGATTATTTTCCGGCATAAAGTGAAGAAAAATCCGTGTTTCTGGGGCACTGCCGTTCCAAGCTTTGAGGACGAGATGAGCACACTCTACCAAGAGAATTGGATGCTGACACGAGCCTGGTGGTATACCCGTGGTGGGATCATTGGTATTTCCGGGCCCTTACAACGGGCATTTGAGTTATGGAGATCCAACCCTACGTGGTATATGCATCCAATTCTTGTTGAAGACTGCAAGTCTAGAGGCGGGTGTTGTGGTCGTGATTGTGGATGTTGTCTTGATGCTCAACGTGCAAATAGTTCAGCCGGGGCGCTTGGTATGGGACACTGCACTCTAGAATGCGGATGTTGTATAAGATCGCGTGGCTTTGAACTGAGTAAGGAAAGGGAAAAATTTCTTGTTGAACGCTTCTCATTTGATGATCGCTTCTCATCTAATGATCAGATGAATACTATGGATCATGAGGTCGATACTATGGATGATCAAATCGAGCCTTATCAGCGCCGAATTTGTCTTGCCTCTATTTGGGGTTTGAGTGTGGGTGATAGCTAGACGTTTACGGAGGCCGATACCCGCCCTGGGTTGTTACGATCCAGTCGTCATACTCTTGTTTGCTTGCTAGTTTGCATTAGCTAGATTGTTTGCTAGATAGTTTTAGCGAGATGATTCGAAGTTTGCATTGTTTGCAAAGTAGCAGCTATATCAACTAGCTGCTTCCCACTTAGCAACTTGCTTCTTCTTTCTCTCTCTATCTTAGTTTTTCTGAATTATATGTACTCTGCTTCCTTTGCAAGATCTGGCACGTCACAGGTGACTTAATTACTATTGGTCAATATTGCCTGGCAGAAAACTAGTCAATGCACTCAACTTGATTTTTCATTCTACCTCAATACTAAATTCTGCCATATGTTTCACCATACATATAATGCATTTGTTCTAGTAATAAAAAAAAGTAGCATACTGTTGGCACACTCCTTTTTTGTTACGACAGGTGGGCCTGACACCACCTCGCCAGAACGGGTAATCATCTGATAAGCCAACGCTCTACCAAAAAGACCACTATGACAACCAGTATACGGAGGCCCCGAGTGTGACATGCCAGGTCTTGCAAGATGAAAAGTGCAGTTAATTCAAGATAACTAAGATAGGGGAGAAAGAAGAAGCAAGTTGCAAAGTGGGAAGCAGCTAGTTGATATAGCTGCTACTTTGCAAACAATGCAAACTTCGAATCATCTCGCTAAAACTATCTAGCAAACAATCTAGCTAATGCAAACTAGTAAGCAAACAAGAGTATGGAGATTGGATCGTAACACCGAGTTCGATCCCTGGTGTGATCGTTCTTTCTACCACCGCAAGGAATATTATGGCTAGCCCGCCGTGTGGCGCCCTAGACCCAGATATAGCCTTGGAGATCTATAATTTATATATGCCTTGTCACCTATCCTACCCTCCAATGTTAGAACCCCTCGAGGAGGTGGATCTAGTATCGGGTCTGATCGGCATGGCTCACCGAGAAGTGAGGTTGAAAGGGTATATAAATTAGAAACCTGACATGACAACCATGCTGGTTGTCAGAGTGGTCTTTTTGGTAGAGCATTGGCTTATCAGATGAGTACCCGTTCTGGCGAGGTGGTGTCAGGCCCACCTGTCATAACACTGACTCATTCATCTGATTTTACTAGGTCTGTTGGGCTACACCTTCTCTCGGGTTTTATGTGGCGCTCCCGATTCAGTGTATCTGCAATTGAGGCTGACCGTCCTAGCAGCTGGTTATACCTGTAGACTTACACCGGACCTCTTATATAAATCAAAATTAGAGCCTAGCAGTACCCAAGGTAGCCCTGGATTACTATGAAAAGGACCAGTTACCAGCAAGCGTATTCGGCGTACCAGGGAAGATTTGAAAACCGAATGGATATTCCGAAGAGATATATATCAAGACAGCAATTCTCTAGATCAAATGACATTTGCTTACAATTATTTATTACTAGCACTACTGAGCCAGTTGCCGCTGGCGCTGTAGATATTAGTCTAGCCTAGGGTTCCACCGCCAACAAACCGAGGCTAATCAAGCCAACATCCCTCGAGCATTCATGATCCCATGCTCTTTCTATCTCGATAATTTCGCTTTGTCTTCTTTACTACCATCTATTCACTACCTACTACACATTTTCATATATCTCCGAGTCCCAGAGTCTACCTCCTCCCTCCATCAGATCTACCCCGAGTTCAGAGATACTGGCTACCAATTTACGGGAAGAAAATGGCCCCAGGTTAACGGCAAAGTTGCAACGTCAAAATTGATCAATGAATATAAAATAGATATAAATGTACAGGTTGCCTTCCGAGGCTTGAATGAAAACAAGAAAAACAAATAATAAGATATACATCAATATACAGACAAAACTTGGGGTTGGAGCCGAGGTCCAGTTTTTGGAAAAAAAAAGAAAAAGAAAAACAAAAGAGAAAAGGAGAGCCCTATAGCCCGGTGAAGCTCCTAATGTTGATATTAATCATGTCAGCAGTGTTCGAGAATCATTCCGAGATCATCAAAAAGGCATAAAAAGCGGCGAAACTGAAAGATTCTCTGCTTCGGCAGGACAAAGGATAGGAACATAAGAATCTCGAGGCAAATATCTACTCTTCTCGAGGACTTCAATGAAATAGTCCGCGGGACTTACGACTAGTTCGAGTTGGCAGTGCCGGCCCTGGACCTCGTATTGCTTGCTGGGCCATCAAACTCAGCGGTGCCGGCGAGGGGGGTTGGCCACGGCCACGGCCACTGACACGACCACTGGCACGACCACGGCCACTGCCACTGCCACTGGCACTAGGCGAGCGAGTAAGCGAGCGAGTAGGCTCGGCATCCTCAAGCTCAATTCCGGCCTCAACACCGGCGGCGCTATAGTGTGAGTCAGCATATACTGTAACCTGTGACGAGCCAGGTCTTGCAAAGATGAAAGAGTGCATCAATTCAAAATAACTAAGATAAGGGAGAAAGAAGAAGCAAGTTGCAAAGTGGGAGGCAGCTAGTTAATATAGCTAGCCGCTGACCGCTTTGCAATAATGCCAATAACAAACAAGCATAGCGATCGTAACATAACCCCCGCGCGAAATTCCATCTAGTCCCTAGATGCTAGACTAGCAATAGCAGCGTCGTAATCAAAATCATCTTCGTCACTAGCTTCGAGAGCAGCTAGGTCTGGGTTAATTGAACCAACAGCAAGGTCCATACGGTCGCTGTTATTGTGGTTGTTAGAATTAGTATGCGAAGAATTTGTTACGTTTGAATGAGTGGACGAGAAAGAATATCCGGCGAGTTATTGGACAATTTTGATAAATTCCGGGTAAGTACGTGGAAGATTCAGTTGTTGGGAAAGGCGACTGCGGAGTGAATTATTAAGGCCTTTGCGGAAAGCGGAGATCTTTATAACGTCGGGCCAGTCTTGACCTTGGCTTCGTAGAGAACTCTCTCAAACTTAGCGATATAAGCGGGGATCGAATCGGTATCCTGCTTGATCGAAAGGAGACGATCTTCGGCTTCTTGAGTCTTATTGGGATTATCGTAAACGCGACGGAGTTAATTGAGAATTGTATTGAAATCGTGTATGCCGGAATCGCGTGTGATAGCGAGCTGGGGTAGGACCATTACCTGAACTTGGCTTATAAGGTTGAGATAGACGTAATAGAATTGGGCTGTCGAATCTCCGATCGCTGGTCTGTCGATAGCGAGTTTGGCACAAATAGCGGCATCCCACGTATCGTATTTAACTGACTAACCAGTAAACTTCTCTGGATCTGGAAGCGAAGACTTTGGACGTCTTACTTGGGGAGCAGGTGGTTGTTGAAACTGCGCTTGTTGTTAAAGTGTCTGTTGAAGATCTCGGATTTCGCCGCGAAGGGTCTCGATTGTGGCGGTGAATTCTGCGCCAAGTTCGGTACGGAGTTCGGCGCGAAGTTGTTGTTAGGGATCCATTTTAACGAGGATCGAGGGAAGGGAGCGAGGTTGAAGAATTGCACTAGAACCGTGGCCTAGAAACTTCTAGGAGTTCAGCTAGAATAGCCGCTCTCTCCCGAGTCCCTACCCGACCTTTCGAGTGTGAACATGAGCTTTGCCCTAACAAGCCAAGATTTTCCGCTCATTCGTTTCAGCATGGAGGAAACTGAATAATTGGTGGCGCTATCAGATTCATCCGCGTGTATTTGAAGTTTGTCGGGTCTACTGTAGAATATATCTAGATAAACCCGTTGGAGTACTCGAAAGAAGCGGCACTCGCGTTCCATTCCGATATCAGTATGTTGAATGATAGCCCGAAGATTGTGACTGGAAGGCCAACATAGATTTATACTATCTTATCGAGGCTCTCTGGACGTAAAGCCTTGAGTATTAACCCAGCCTCCTCGATCGACTTTGAATCAATTATAACAGAGTCCGATACCTAGAATTCAGTTGACCAGCTATTGAAAATAGGAGGGACTCTCTCTAATAGGGAACGCTGGAGGTGAATGAGGCTTCCCCTGAGACTTTTCGTTTGGTTCTCCTTTTCCGTATTGAGAAGGATAATCTTTAGGTTTGCTGAATGTACTACCTCCAGAATTCCGATCTGATAGTCATGCGGTTCTAGGCTCGTTAGTTATGCCTAAGGGAAGATATGAACTGTGCCATTCTCGATAGACACGAATTTACCTTGGCTATCAGCTTTATTTAGTAGGTAACCTTATGGAATTATGGTAGAAGAGAGTGTGATATTGATACTCTGGCCACAGAGCTTTAACTATTACCACTTCTAAACGAGCTCCTCGGTCTTTGAGTATACAAAATGGGCTTTATTAACCAGAATTTTCGAAGAGCGATCAACATAAGGAACGTGCTTCCTGCTGCATTTAGCATCGTTACAAATGGTCATTGGAAGTCAAAAAACGTACCCATTGGCATGCCGCCAATGCGAGAAAAGCGGACGTTCAAGTACTTGTAACATCAAGTGCTATATCGGACAGTCCTTCCTAGGAAGAGCTTCTAGTAGCCATCCGCAGATACTGGTATTCTTCGACGTGAAGGTGCAGAATCAGCGCTAAACTGGTCCAGTTTGGCGATGATATCAGTGTATGAAGCTGTATCGGGAGGCCTTGAAGAGAATGAGGATAAAGGACAATGCAACCTACTGAGGACCAGGCAAGATCAAGGGTTTTGTATCACAACTTAAATGGGTTCAATGGAACCTAAAGGCCAAAAGGGCGTACATTGTCACAGGGGATATCTCGGTGACAGTAACAAACCGCAAATGTTGATAAACTGCCTAATAACATGTTCTCATTATCGGTCAACATTTCTCACTCAACGTTGAGTATGAGCTGTTAGACATAGTTCTTTCACATGGCCAGAGACAAAAGGTCAAGGTGAACAGGGTTGAAGAGAAGCAGGGGCTTTTTTTTCGGTGTACAGCCATCATTGCCTTGTGTAAATAGTTTCTTCGCATACATGTCTCTTACTACTGAATGTAGTTAATGAACCCCATTTTTACTTCAACTATCTCTCATAATTCCATTACTATTTCTTTCTAGTCCACAATAGTGTACAGAGTCCAATTTTAGCTTATATCCTTTTCAAAAGTATAAAATACAATCCCATTGTTTGATTAGCGTGCGGCTCTACCCGTCCGAGACCCCCACAACCCGGAGGTTACGCATAGGCATATTGGTCAGGGTCGGTTTCAGTTCCAAGGGTTTAATGCATGCAATCGTGCCATAATAAGGCCATAATAAGGTAACAAGGCCTCAACGCATCTGGCCCCACTAGCCCTAACCCTTTGCACCTGCATAACCACAGGTTACACAGATAGCCTATTCACTACTTCGTATATTCCAACCTCAACACATAAAAGCCAAAAATTCACATCAACTCATGAACCCAAAATCAGCACCAAAACCAAATTCAAAGTCAAATTGACAAGCAAAAAAAATTATACAAAATGCAAGCTGTCCGCGTCCACCCATCCCCATCCGACCCTCCATACTCCGCAACAAACCCAGCCCCATCAACAGCCCTCGAAATCGACACCATCCCAATCCCAACCCCAACCCCAGGCCACCTCCTAATCAGCATCAAAGCAACAACCATCATCCGAGACATGCTCACATGGCCTGAGACATACTCCCACCCATACGCAATCCCAGGCCACGACTTCTCGGGCATCGTAGCCGGCCTCCCACAGGGCCCAGACTCGGTAGCTCTAAATACCCTTTAGGATATACGCAGTTATCTACAGGAGGAGTTTCGCCCTAGGGGAGTGGGGCAGACATCCGGCCTGTCAGTACCTACATCCTGTGCTCCAAGTCCGGTCGACACTTATAAACATTGAGACCGGGCTTGTACGACTCCTGATGGATACTACGTTAGAGGTTCTCCACTAGATGAAAATTGATGAAAATTGATTGAATCCGATGGAAAAGTAAAAGATCATGATGATGATAATGATATTCTCAAGCAAGTCAATCTCATCCTTCCGCCCATATTCGTACTCTCCGCTAGCAAACCTTTCCCTATCTACCGGAACAGCTCTCCTCTCAAACATGCCTACACAGTCATACCATATTCCTGCGTAGAGACCTCCGAGTTAGAACTTTTCTGCGGGGTACGGAAGTCTTCTGGATATATTTCTCCCACGGTAATAATCTGTGAGCGACGGATCTCTTCGGGCAAAAGAAACCCCCCTTTAAAGACAGGGGCATCCTCCTTCTCATCGATATGCACATTCTCACTCGCCGTCAGGGGTGCCTCGAAGTTCTGGAAGAGAAGAGCTCTAGCTGTCTCGTGCTGTGGTTCGCCTAAGCATAGGACACTGCCTGATGCCCCGCGAACGCTATCGGTGTCTCGAAGAGTCCTCCATAGCAAAGCTGTACCAAACGCCCGTGCATCCCAGCTGTACTGGGTCCCATGGATAATACACTGCTGGGCTTGTGTTGTTACTCCATGGCCTTGGTGAGTAAATGTTCTTCCGGTTGAAATATGGTAGCGGTGCAGAAAAACTGGCCGGCCTTGAAGCGCCGCTTCATATGGACCCCATTCTGTCACCCGGGGGGTGTGGGGGGGGATTCGTGAGCTGGGGGAGGTTCGGCCCAGTGACCAAACTCAAATCGTGTTGAAATCCATTGGGATATGGAATCATACGGTGGCGCGTACATCGGTCGTAAGTTACTGTAATAGTGCCAATCTAGTGAGGTTAGTTATGTTCACATCATGTACCCTAGCACACCAAAGGAAAGATTATAGATACACAGGTGTCTGTTCCGCTCAACCATACTTGTTTACCAAGCGGCGAGTTCGCAACCTGTTTCGGGTGGACAATGGCAGCCTGTGGTGCCTGCCGCGGCGGTGGTCGCATCCGCTTGAGGTAATCTTTCGCTGTCAAGATATACTCCGTGAAACGTTTCCTTATTTTTGACATTCTGGAATCGGCAAGACGGACAAACGCATGCGTCACTGTCGTGATTGCCTCCTGGCCACCTGGGAGCCGTAATCGTAGGCCGAGTGCCGCCTGCGGGACATGGGTTCCTGGCGCACTGCTAACCGCTCGACCGGACTCGACGATGTTAGCTGTCGCATGGAATGATGCTATGATGTATCCGACCCGTAAACCACCGACCTCGTCCGGGACACCCTTATCCCAGCATGCCTCTAGCGACTTCTTCTCCGGAAACAAAATCAATAGCCAACCAGTGAGGAGTATTTGTGCTCCGATGGAACCTGGGAAGGCTTCGCGAATTAAGTTGACTTTCTGGGGTTCGAGAAAAGACCGGGGGTCGATACGGTGGATATTGACATAACGCATCAACAGACCCAAGGGGGTAACGGGTGGAAGAGTTTGTGCCGGCAGGACATGTATTTCCCTGCCAGCGGCGTGTGTGTTGTTGATATTCCGGGCGCCGCGGACATGGACTAGCCACAAAGGTTTCCTCACCGGACCACCCTCAACTACTGAAACACAATCGCAATGCTTCAGAGCAGGGTGCAGCGACCGAACCATTGTCTCTTCCTCGAGAGTTTGGATGCTGGTCATGAAGGCAACTTTAGCCCGAAGGCCCGGTTCATCAATGTTCGGTTTGCGTTCAACCGACCGGACTGTGGCGAAGCAGACAGGGTTATTGTTGAACCGGGGGCCACTCTGGTAGCGGATTAGTAAAGCGGATCAATTATTTCAGAGAGAACAAGTGACGTACCATGGTGTCGGGCATGAGATCGGTCCGAAGGAGTGGAGTAGAAGAAACTTAGCAGGGTATGGGGCTGGGGCGGAATCCTGTGGATGGCGGACAACAATCTGACAGCCAAAGAACAATGACCTGGCTGACACTAAGAATCCCCCTGTATCGGTACTCAAAATCCGGCGGGAGTTGAAGCAGATCTTTAGACCAGAAGACAGTACGAGTGGAATGGTGTCGATTCAGCGGGTCAAAAGATTGTTCGAGGCTATGGTCTTGCTCCGGGTCGACCAATATTAGAGGATGACGATGCCTCCACAATGATTTTCCAATCTAGCGATAAACTCTATATCTGGGATGTGCTTTATTATGATGTGTATGAAAAAGCATCTCAGGACATCACTGAAGTCGCCCGTGTTCTGTCTCAGGAAGGAGGTTACAAGAAGTTACAGAAACGCCTTCTTGATCCAGTTGAAGATATTGCTGTCTGAGCATGATAGTTGTGCCGGTTTAAGAGGGGTTTTGAGGAGGATTGGAAGAGGTCATGCGGCCACACGAGCGACACACTAGCCTCGGGGATTAATGGTTGGGTGGGAGGGGTTGCCTGATAGTGAACCTAGGTGTTAGTAGATCATCTTGTTATCATCGTTCTCGAAATTGGCTTGATAAATGTACACCTAACAACTCTTTCCTAGCCCCACTGCCAGGACTTAAATAATGATCATTTTGAACAGGCCGCATTAATTGAAGGGCCAACGTAAAACAAATATTTATAGTACCGTATCTTACTATAGTATGACATCTTACACTACGCAGAGAGCAAAGAGCTCAATATAGCTAACTCCATGGAAGCCGATAGCATGTCCGCCTCGGATCCGCCATGTGGATGATTCACTAGGCGGCTTCGGCCTTGCTCTGCCTATACAGTATACGCTAATCAGACGCAGGACATCCGCCAAATTGGCTGTTTGGTAGTAAGTCTTGTTCTTCTTCCCGGAAGGACAGGCGTCGCGCCACCTCTGCATAAGGAGCTTGCAGCGAATGTTCAGCAGTGAGATTAGGGATAGGTGTCGTTAACCAATCAAGCAGTCCAATTTCTTCCGGTTCCTGCTAAACTATGATCTTCGCATTGAATATATTCTATATGGACAGAATAATGTCTGCCAGGTAGGGCTTTCCTTTCTTGGCTGCCGCTTTTCTGAGAGTGCTCAGGCTCAGGATCAGTGAATAGATGTTAGCACGGGGGAAAACTCAGTGATCAAATTACACAAGTTATGTGAGGAATGACCAAGCGGGTTGGTACGGGTTCTCCACTAGTTGAAGAACAAGCTAAGGCCGACGGTCCCAAACACGTAAGACACCGCACCGAGATCAACGGTGTCGAGGGGCATCTGCTCAGCTAAATAGACGCCCGCTCTGGGCATCGGTGGTCTAGGCGGGTGCCCCCGCAGACCCAGCAAAACGACAGAAGTTCTCCGAAGCCCCTCGTGAAGCTCCATCAAAAACTGGCAATTTGCGCAGGGATCTGCGACTCGGGTTTAGAAACTGTCACTCAACATGTCCTGGTATTGCGCTGCCTTGAGCGCTTTCTTCTGGAGGGATAGTCCGTGAACATCCCTGTTTCTTTCATCGAGTCCGCTATACTTAATATTGTGCCTTTTCAGGAGGAAGGTCCTCCTGTCTCCGGAGGACCCCCAGATTTCTTTATCATATAATCTGCTTGGTCTTCAAGGCACTATCTCCCTTTTCCTTCATAGTCTTGATGATCTCATCCAGGGTTGTCAGAGAGGTGATTTCGAAGACATCGAGACCAACGCAATACCAGAAGTAGTACTTTCCGCCGGCTTCAAAAGGTAGGCATGGTCTGTGCAATGACACATAATCGGACAGCCTCTCCCAAGATTCATCTTTTCACAGAGATCTTGTCCGAAACTATCCTCCGTCTCCCAGTCATCTTCGTACTCGAGGTCCACCCGGACGGCGGGTCATCCTATGATCTACATTAGCGTTGAAAGCAATGTTTTGACAGCGACAGGCTTACCACGATGGCCATGATGTTGGATTCGTCAATAGATTGGAGTTATGGGGTATCTGAAACGAGTTGTGATGAGTGAATAGGTAGGTCGGAAATGTGTCATTTAACAGCTGTGAATGGTAGAAAACGGTCAGGGCATACCCACACCGCGATGCGGTGTGGGGCGGCGACACGATTACAGTGTTGCACTAGTATTCATAGCTGTGCGAACATAGTGTGGAAGATCCACACTCGTAGTCCGTGCACCCAGGGTGGTCATGTGCTTCTAGGGGGAAAGGAGCGGAGAAAGAAATTTTCGTCACGTAGTTCCTGAATCCTCAGTTCCTCCAGGCAAAACGGACACTCGATTCGGCCTCTACTGGTACAGTAGCTACATCGCATTACATCCTCTCCTTATTCCCTAAAGTCCGCCCAGGATGACTTCGGAGCCGCAGCTTTCTGGACGAAGGATTCAAGTCATTGGGGTTACGGGAGCAGGAAAGGTACTCCTACAGAAATGTCACGTCACTGTACGACTAATCTAATGCCGCACCCCTGATGCTAGAGTACTTTCGCACGGCGACTAGGCAAACAGCTTTCCATACCGGTATGCGAACTAGACTCTCTCTTCCACAAGTCCAGAGCCGGTGGCGCCCTATCAGAAGACGACGCCCGACGTACCGTCCAGGCTCTGGTCGAGTCGAACGACGAGTGGATTCTTGATGGCAAGTACGTTTTCGCGGTCCGCGTGAGGGATTAATGCTTAATTAAGGCACAGTCACTGGGTTCAGTTGAAGGACATATCCTACAGTGTAGCGACAGACATCATTTGTAAGATGAGTTTTATCGTATGCGCGACTGCTCATCTGCTGATTTGGTATCCTTGTTGCTTAGGGATTGATACGCCACTGCCATTGACACTGTGGCGTGTAATTACTCGCACCATCTGGGGTAATTCCTCTTCCACTTCCGACTATTTCTGCAAATGTTCGCTGATGATTAATTTGTACTGACTGTCGATCACAGAAGTGCTGACCATCCCCGGCGTTCTACGAAGGGAGCTCTCGAGCAATAGCTTAATCGCAATGTCACTCAGAGTCCGAGCGAGAAAATACGCCAATTGGAGCAAGCGTGTCGACACGGATTCCAGGTGGAAACGCTTAAGCGGCTGGTTCGGCCGTGATAGCTTCCTGGCAAGAGTGAGAGATACGCTTCGATCATCCTAAGAACTCAACGACCTATGACACATTCAGTAGTCCGCATAATACACTCATTTGCAAGTAAATACAGAAAATCATGCAACTTTAAGACGTGGAAGAAGCCCTGAAAGCAGTCATCGAACTTTGTAGTCTGAATCAGCAACGAGACACGACACGAAGAGGTCACTTATGCCGAGAGAATTTGATATCATTGCAAGAAGTCAGACGGTGACGGCGCACTCTACGAAGCAGGATCATCGCTCGAGGCTTAGGAAGACTTCATGTATCGCATGGACTGGAGCGCAAATAATTTAAACCAGTAACGCTTCAAGATCAGCAATCTAGACATTGTTCTCTTCCTTGCAGTAGAGCCCGCAATGCATCTTCCAAGCTTTCTTTCGGTCCATTATTGTCGAGTACAACATCAGCTATCTCTTTAACGCGCTCAGCACCCCGCTCCCTCTTTACGGCGTCTTTCTGTTCCAATCGAAGCCTTGGTCGGGCACTTCTCTCCAACCGTAGCTCTTCGTTTGTCTCAATGTAGATGATCTGCAAGAGGGATCCGAGATATGATTTCAAAGGTGCGATTGAATCGTACCGATGGACGCTCTCGATTGTGAGTGTCGATAGGTACCAATGGTAGCGGCCAAAAGCATCCAACCCTTTTAGTAAAGCTGCAGCTCGTCGCTCTCCGGACAGCGAATAGATGTCATGTCCTAACTCATTGCTCGCTCCATCAAGAAAGTATGACATCTTTAGTCGTGCTCCGCTCGTGCCATGTGCCTTATGGATCATGTCAGCGACTGTGCTCTTGCCACACTCCGAGAGTCCTGCTATCGCGTAGATAGTCTTGATCCTCTCGAAGGTCGGCTTCAGTAGATCCGGCAGAATCTTTGAGCTGCTCAAGTAGCCACGTATGACATCCTGAGTTTGACGCTGTGAATGCCGGCCTGGCTCAACGCAGATCAAATCGTATTGGCCTTCCAATTCCTGCATTCTGAGCGCTCGACGGAGCATCGCTTGATAGCGTTCATGATCTCGACCTATGGGGTTGCTCTTCCCGGAATGAGGCGTCTCCACTGCGTCATCGAGGTCTGAGTGATATTTGATAAGAATCATGTGATGTTCCCTTGGTATTGTGAGCCCCAGTTTAGAGATGATGATGTCGAATGTTGTTTTGGCGACTACGAGATCCTCGTGGTTCTCTTTGATCGCAATCATTGCTAGTGCGACAGCTTCAAACATCTTTACTCCGCATTGGAGGACAGCTAGGCGATGGGGGCTGCTTGAATCGGCGGCTCTCGAATGCCTCCTTATTACAGCCTTGAATAGCTCTGTCACGAACTCGTCTGTAGAGCTCTTCCACCACCAATCGGCAGCTGCCAGCTTCACATTGAGGTCCAAGTCATCATCGAGTATGTCGCCCAGGCAAAGGATTCGCCAGTCGGAAGGTAGTAAGTGAATTTGAGCAGTCTTCCCTAGACTGCCGGCGCCGTTGATTGATACAACGACTGCCATCGTTGTACAACCTACTTCGTAATCTAACGAAGGACGTTAAATGTCCTCAGTGTGTGTGCTTTGATGCGAGAGTGAGTCTTTGGCAAGCTCGTTCAAGTTGTCTTGATTAAGTTTTCGTGATTGTTTGCATTGCAGGAGTAAGACGAAGCACAAGCACAGAAATTGCGATGAAATCCGGTCAGCTGCACGTGACAAGTTATTTGCGTTGTGGACCTACTCCGTAGTAGGGGCGGGATTGCCTTAGTGTAGTGGAGCGCTCCAATATACCGAACCCTTTTTTTATATATACCATTTTCTTCTTAGCTTATATCCTTAAGATCTATTTTATTCAAATATTGCTTTCTATCAACATACAATATTGTGCGTAGTGGGGGGTGTTTCAATATCAAATACTATGTGAAGCTACTGAAGGGTGAAGAAAAAAAATCGACTTCGGTGGAAAAAGTCGTGGGGGGTGCGAGTCAGCTAATTTTTCGAACGTGGGTCAATGGTCGGTTCGGGCCGGGTCAAACGGGTCAACTCCATGTGTCTGTACAGGTCTACCCATTGAATTAATGGTGCGTGCTTTTCCGAAAAGTGATATGTATATTTGGGCGTTGGCCTTGGCGTATCGCCAGCTCAACTCTGCGGGATGAAGACCAATTATTTCCTACAAAACTAGACTTGAGCATTAGCTCCGTCAATTCCTATCCAATAGCGAAGCCACAGTGGGTGATAAAGTGGGTACTCAGAAATATGGTGGGGAAGAGTTTGCGCGTGATGGAAATCTAGGGAAGTGCGGCAGTTACCTAGGTATGTATATCCGTATATTCCTTTCGGCCGATGTGCTTACATGTCAGTAGGTGACGGGAATATACATGATGTCTTTCGCCAATCAGACCTAGCTTACTGCCGCCTGGAGGTTCATTCATCTAAATTTCGACGTCTCTATTGGATAGGCAGGGAGGATGTACAGCCGCACGTCCTGTGCGCAGCTTGCCCTGATGCTGCCGCTGTCTGCCTTCGATAGAAAAGCAAATGATTCAGCACGAAGAGTCAGAGCCATCCAAGACGACTGCCCATATCTTGAGCTTCTCAAAGGGCACCTTCCACTCAGCAAACAGACATGGATACATTGGCGAAGTTGATTTCCGACCATTTTCTGCATTATGACGAGTTTCTGGCTGACCAGCTTGATATCCTGGCTATTGTATTTAGTGGTAGTGCAGTCTACTACCACGCCGAACGCTCGACACTTGACCAAGCTCGGGATTTCGATGGCGCAATCTTGGTCAAAGGTCGTGGCGACATAGCGACGTTACTGAACGACAAAAGACCTCTGTTGAAAAGACTGCTAGCCATGCAACGGGAGGAACATCCTTCATGGGATCTCTCAGCAGACAGTTTGCAGTCGGTAGACGGAGTACGCTTCGCTGGTTGGACTTCGAATGATGTCAAGCTTTCTTACAAAATCCTGAGTCTTGAGAGCTTCTCTACGTCGCCAGGCGTTACTCATCTACTGTCTAGAAAAGATCGCAGAGTCTACGAAGGCTATACATCTGAAGGGTGGCCCACGTTGAGGGTGCAGCAAGCGACCAAGATCAAGAACCATACCGTTGTCCTGCACGACAACTGGGTTCTGGATTCTACATTCATCTTTCCCACAGGGTCAAAACAGGACTCTATCATCTTCGGGGTGACTGCCGACCTGCTTCTGACTGGCTACTGGTTTCGAGATCTGGAGAACAATGGGGACTTCATCAGGAGAAAGTTGATATCATATGCTTCCGAAAAGGGTAGCATAGGGATGTGTAGTCCAGTCTTTGCTCGTGACATGCGCTTTGAGCCACTCTATAGAGCTTGGCTTGCCAGTCAGCTTTCGCGGTATGTTAACTTCGGCTCTCTACATACGCGAGCTCGTGTGACTCGAGGTCCTGTACACATCTCGATAGCAAGCTCCATTGCGCGGCCTTCTTGTTTTTGTTCCCACTATGGCCCTTCAACTGTGTTAAGATTGGCCGTATCAATTGGGGAAGAGGAACTGAAAAAGGCGTTACAGCACTTGGAACATGATTACGTTCTCAACCCATTCTCTTCAAACTCTCGCACAGGCGTGGCTGAAGTTATGGCGATGACGTATGACGAATCATATCATCCTCTGAAAGTCTTTTTCAAGACCACGACCATCGAGAAGCAGAGGTTAGAGGAGAAGATCTGGGGGAAGATCACAGCATTCTATCCTTTCATTCAGAAGCCTCTGAATCTTGAAAGTGTAGCCTGCTATCCTTATCTAGACTTCTCCACGCAGTCGCAGCTTCATGCTGAGTATATGCATAAGCCGTCGGAGAACGGCCTGACGTCGATGATCGACATCGAAATGAGGAAATCTGAGGATACTCTCAGAGCGTATCGTGAATCCTTTCAGAGCCAGGGCTGTGGGAAATATATGGCTGAGAAATGGCAGATACATCGCTTCTTCTGGTTGAGACTGGCACAAGAGGAGCGATTTGCGAGATGGTACAAAGACGGCATTGTTGTTGACGGCCACCGATTGCAACTCGAGGAATTTACCAAGCTTACACTTTGTGTCAACGGCAAGCGTTATTCTTCTTTCGGAGATCTCCACGCTCTTGCACAGAGTGTGCTGGCCCCTACAAGCTTCTCGGACTCGCCAATTGTATTCGGCTTAGGAGATGCTCATGGGGGCAATGTGATGATCTCATCAGAAGGCTCACCTCTTCCAGGTGAAAAGCTTCTATATATCGACTACGAAGTCAGTGGATTCCATTCACCTTTCCTGGATCTTGCTAAGCCACTATATAACGACGTCTTTTTCGCAGCTCTATATGCCGACTTGGCACCGGCAAAGTTCTCGGTAAACGTGCGTCTAGAAAACGATTGTCTGTTCATTGACACACGCTGTCAGGAAGATTCCCTCGCTCTGGCGATATTGCGTATCAAGCGGCATTTCCTAATCGAGCCGTTATGCAAGACTTTAGTCGAAAATTCGGTCGATTTGGCAAGGGGGGTTCAGATTTTGGTGAACGCTCTGTTCGCATGTGCACTTCTCACACGCAACTTTGTTGACGGCTGGGATCAACTCTTCGTGAACCTCGCAATTGGGACCTCTCTGTCGTCTTGCCGTACTTTCGAGGATATCTGGCAAACTTGCACGGAGTTGCTGTCACCATCTTGTTGCTGCGAATACTCAAGGAATCCTGCACCTTTTTCTCGCGGTGAATGTATGTCAACGGATCAGATACTGGCTTAGTGTACACGGTGTATGGCTTACCCGATATGGAGAGCCACTTCGAAGCGAACATAGCTTCCTGTCGGAATATGGGATGGATACCGTCCTTTTTCATGCTTGTTACAGATTGATCATGTGACCCGCTCCCGGGCCAGGATTCTTTTCATGTTTTGATTACTCAGTTTGTCTGTCTGTCCACAAGATTGTCATTTCCGGACTTGTTAACTAATACACTTGCATTAACTACCGATTTTCCGTCACTTCCAACTGGATAAGACCGCCGCTTCTGGCACTCAAGACATTTGTGAATTTGTATGCTTATATATACTGTATGTACTGTAAACGCGAAGCATACGAGGTCGACCGAAAGAGTGTCCGGCTTTTTGTTGTAAAAAAATAAGATACATGCAGGCTGGCTTGGAATGTGGCTGGTACAGTATCAACATTGCCGATTTTGGCATAAGTAGCAGCCCGCTGCTGTGCTCTCTCTTTTTTTCTACCCTATTTGGAAGTGGGCGCCATGTCGGTACCTGCCTGGGTGTGCTTTGATTATGGTTTCATCTGTTTCTGGAAACTCCACGAACGGCTTTAACAAATCTTCTAAAGAAATATGGTACAGCGAGCGCACAGGAGATGTATACTGTACTGTTAGGTGGGGCAAATCCTTTAGCAAAGCCGACCTCAGCATTCCCAAGTAAATGACAGTTTGGACATACTTGTCAGCGTGTCGGGATGCTCCTCTACCAGCACCCTGAATTTTGTCTCCATTACCTGCACCTCCAGCGACTTGGCCTCCTTCCACCGGCCGGTTGAGTGATAGTGTATATGACGTGGGGTGGATTGATTGGTCGTATTAAGCCACCAAGTTGCCCAGCATGTTGGCATTGTCTGCTCAGCCCCCGGTGCTATATAATGCGTCAGAAAAGGCTCGCCGACTCAACTTTTCTTCCTGTCCCCCATCGAAATATCTTCGTCTCCATCAAGCCCCACAATCTCGTGACGGAACCACCTTCCCACGTTTCTACCTGTGCGACGAACCCACAAATCGCAATGGCCTCTGCGTCCCAGCAGAAGTGCGCTAGAGTGCTCAGCATTGTGGCCTCCGAGGATATTCGAGAGCTGGACTGGAGTCATATCCACTTGCTTGTATCCACTTCAGCAAAATGCGCAACAAAAAGGCTGACACTCGTGCTTGTCAACAATGTCTTCGTCGCAAGATCAGAGGCCCGATCGAGCTTGTTTCCGTACGTACAACATTACGTTACCACGATCACCTCACTGGCCCAAACGAGCGTCGAGTCAGCGACCGTTGCTATTGATGTACTATTATTCGGATGGTCCGACCTACAGCTTTCCGCGTACACATGGGATCAAGTATACTCTAACTCTCCTAGTATGTGGCAAAGCTGCAACGCAGCCGAAGTGTGTGGATTGAAGCGTCGAGGATATCTTTGCTGACGTCCAATATCGTGACAGGTCATGTCAAGCAGATCATCGGCGACGCTCCTTATTGTCAAATCGAGCCTATAATTCGAGTGCTTCCGTCAACGAATACGGAGCGGATGTGTGCGGACGATATTGCGATTGACACAGTCAGCGGTAGGCACATCATATCACATAACTTATCGTTGCATTGAGAGTACTCACGGCCTATACAGTGAACGGGACATTCGACCATTTGCATATTGGTCATAGAATTCACTTACTCTTGTCGGCTTGGCTTGCCACGAAGACGCTCCTTTGTGCTGTATCGACAGCTTCGCCGAGCGACCCATCGCATAAGAAGCTCCATCAGCTTTCAGAATCATTCGAGAGGCGTCAGAGTGCGGTAAGGCAATTCATAGAGGGCTTCCAGACGTTCGAAAGACGCCCATTCGAGCTGAAGGTGGTGCCGCGACAGAATTATGGCCCCCAAGTCTCCGAGCCAAAATTAGATGCGGTTGTCTTGTCTACAGAGTCAATGCATCATGGTGTTATAGTAAACCGCCTTCGAGTCGAAGCGGACCTACCACCGGTCAGAGTCTTTGTCGTGGATGTCGTTCAAGCAGCCGGTTCAACATTCTCCTACGACAATGCTCATAAATTGATGACACGAATGAGCTCATCCTTGATCCGAGAGTCGCTTGACAAGCGTGCTCTGAAGTTCATCCTTCTGAATGGCTTCGCCGGTGTCGGGAAATTCACGATTGCCTCTAAATTAGCGACTTATCTCGCTTTCGCTGGACTCGAGGCACGAGTCGTGCACAATCATCTTCTAGCTGATCTTGCAGATGCTGTGCGTTCAAAAACAGCACCCACATACCAGACGTTTCGCCGGCAGCTGCGGGACCTGGTATTCGATGCGATCAGCACAGATGAGCATATATTGCCCGGTACAGCTTTTGTCTTTACTGGAAACTTCTCACAGAGCATGGTCGGTCAAACGGCAGCACAGGAGTACGCGACTGCTGCCTCACGTTGTGGCGCCTCATTCATACCCGTCACTATACATTGCAACATCGAAGAGCTCGAGCGGCGCATAGTATCTAGAAGTCGATCCGAGGTATCATCGCGCAAGCTGCTGGATCCTGCGCGCGGTGCAAAGATCGCAACGCAGAAGGTGCTATACATATTTGAGAATACACAGGCATTGAGCCTAGATGTCTCTTTGATGTCTGCAGAACAAGCTGCGAAACGTATTGCCGAGCACGTCGAGAAGGTCCACCAGAAGAGAGAGATATAGTATCCTCATTCACCTTCTCTGTCTTTCTATCGGATATAGAATATACGAGAAACTCCGATCACGGCAGCCTTGGAAAGAGCTCCATTGTGATTGTGGTTAGTTAGTTACATTCCCAAAACAAACAAAACAGTGTTTACATAAGCCCAAACTAGGGCCCCTCAATGTCCCCCTGACCTGATTTCTCCTTCCCCACTGTGTTTTACTTGTGATCTCGCCGGCCTGCGGCCGTCGAGTCGTTGCAGAGCGAAGCAACTGATGATCACATGATGACCCACTAGAACGCTATTATTTCAGCCCCCTCAGAGAAAACTTGGCCACGTGACACGTACGTGAGACCTTTTGATTTATACTTGCTTGCTTCGCTTCGCAATAAACATGATTTTTACTTTTCTATATGAGACATCTAAATTTATTTTACTAGCCAATTAATTAAACTAGACATTAAAGCCCTAAAGCCCTTCTTCATTTAACTAGCTAGAGGGTCAAAAAAATAAGGTATTAGGTACATGTACCTTTTATATGAGCGGGCTATACAAAAGATACCTAATTCTGACAATTTCTGTTTAGCAGGACTGGAAAGGTATGGAGGCGGTAAGACGGCTATAGCCCGCGGTGATAACAGGCGGTGTAGAATTTGTTGTGAAATGTTTTGATGTCTAGTCAGTAGCAGAGCTTCCAAGGTGGTCGAACTTTTCTTGATCCCTCAAAGCAAAAGTTGTCGCTGTACTCGTACACAAGCAGTCAATTATCGAATATCACAGCTCAGTCCTAGCCTTTTCTTCTCTGACCACGAATAAACCTCTTCTCTTCCCAAACAATCTTGGGTTTTTTCCTCCCGACAACTCACCACTTGGTTTGTTCCTCACCCTTGCTCGCTATGGGACCATGTCACAACCCAGGATCGCTTCTCTGGTTGTTTGTTCTTCCTGCTTGGCTTTCCTCCTAGCTTGCTTCGGGCTCGAGCAATTCTGTCCTCGGCGGATGCGAATAGTAAACGTGTGGATTTGGTCTATGTTTGATTTATACGCTACCCTTGACACCATCCTGGCCCTCGGCATCCTTCTGCTCGTAGCCGGGATCTTCGCTCTAGGATATGCGTTCGCATCACCCGAGCATATCTCCCTCGACTATGGGTGCTCGGATTGGCGGATCAGTAGCCAAAGAGCCGCAGATCTGTACAGTTCTGGTACCAAGCTTTGGACGAGAGTGGATCTAAAGAACATAGAACAACAATTGGGCCAATCCTATACAATGGTCCGATTTTCAGTCCGTCGAATTGATGGAAACAAAATCCAAATTTCTAATCCCTTGTTCCAAGTATAGAATCCTATCTGGTACGTGGGTATGGTGTTCTGACCCAATTTCAGCCTGTAAGCTAAGTTTTCCTTAGGAAACCCTATATCAAGTACCAAGAATATTGGCAACTTGTGAAAATACAACCCAACGGCCCAACTGAAACCTACCTATGCTCTTATATTGTGGATTGGAGCAATCAGACTGCACGAAACTTTCGAGAGCTTATATCACAGCCTATGCAAGTCTTTGACGAGAAAGACTTATTATGGCAGAATAGCACGACCTGCAAGCATTTGGCAGCCTTAATCCAAGATTTACTCGGTACAAATACTGTGAAGAAAGTTCTTTACTTCGGGCTCGGTGATTTTTGCCGCTCTGCTCCTGAATGGCTAAAAAGGCAGCATAACTCTTAGAATGAGACCTCGGATATTGAAAATGTAACGGGCTGTATGATCCAGCATTCGATGGCTCTCACTATCGCTCAACTTTACCGTGGCAATGAAATAGTGCCATTACTTGCTCAGGACCCAGATTATACAGAGGTCGCAGAAGAGATTCTAACCAAGAAGGAATTCAAAATTATTGGACCTCACGGTACAGGAGGATTCGCGGAAATCGACGATGAATCGATTGTGATAGCACCCTTTGCTGCCGCCCCAGTTAAGCAGATCATCGCCGATCTTGCTCGGCCTGTGCTCATTATTTCCACCGGCTTTGATGTCTTCAATAGCAATGAGTAAGTTCGCTTTTGTCGATCATCGAATCTGTCTAACCAGGGTACTTCATAGAAAACCATTGGCAGATGCTGAATCTCCGAGAACCAGGAAAATGTGGCTTGATTATGATGCCTGTAGCCTTCCAAGCCATTCTGATGATGTTGAAATATGCTGTGCATTGAAAGGATTATATTTGTATCGTAGACGTCAGCAGCCTCTGGATTCGCAAGGAATGTCGCCTCGCCAGTCGAGACAAAGCAGCTGGTAACACCAATAGCTATCATCGCCATACATGGACAACTTTTTCCATTCCGGAAACTTAGCACCTGTTCATATTGTGAATGCTGTTATAGGCCACAATATAGATGTTGCGCAAAGTTCAGCAGCGGAGTAAAGGGTCCCCTGTGAATATTAAATACAAGGTGCGATTTCAGCTCTGCCCAACCTGGTACCAGGGTGATTTAGGTACATTCTTGTGAACGTGGCAGATTAACCCAAAAGGGTAATCGGAAGGGCCCAACAAAGTAAGGCAAACAAGAGGAATAACAGCCCTAAGATCGCCTCAAAATTTCCAGCCACCTCAGGTTAAGATAACTTTTATTTGATTACGCGTATCTCGGGTGTTTTGATACTGATTTTTCCATCACCTGAGCTCACGTGAGTCAATCCTAGTTTTGTTGCTGCATCGAATTACCTCGCGTTTATTTATAACCACCACAACAGGATGGATGGAGAATCTATCAACGCACAGCCTACCGGCGAACATCTCATCATGCGTCCATCCACCAGGGCTGACTTAGACTCGATAACCTGCGTTGTCGAAGCCGGCTTTCCTGATGATCTCGGCTGCCCTTACAAATTCCCCTACCGTGCCAAATACCCGGGTGATTTCTGAAAATGGACAAGAGTGCAGTATGAAGAGTACATTGACCAGCCTGAGAAATACATCTCACTCGTTGTTACTGCCCCAGTCTCACTTGGGAAAGAGGTTGTTCAAAAACCCATTTCGATTGGCATATGGGACGTGGCAGGTGAGACAAAGTCTGCCGGTGGCGGTATGTTTCCCCTGTTCTATCTTGATGCAGCAAGCCTTTTATTACATAGAAGACCTGACGGTGATTCACAGGCCTAGGTATCAATGAGCGCCGAGACGCTAATCCTGAACATATGAGGGCCTATTCTAGGACGATGACCTACGCTTTCGATACCTATTTCGCGAAGTATGGAAATAGGCAACTTCATCTTGGGTGGCTTATCACACACCCCGATTTCCGTCGGCGTGGGGCCGCAACCATGTTGTGTGATTGGGGTCGCAAAGAGGCCATGAAGAGGGGCTGGATGTGGACCGTGATAGCCAGTCCAATAGGAAAATTACTCTACGAGCACCTTGGATGCGACCTTGTTGGAGCTGAGACCATACGAGTACTTGGAGAGGATGAGAGCGTGGATATCTACATGATGGAGGAAAGATTCAAACATACTGCCTGGCATGAATCTGTCATTGCCCCAGTCTCTACGCTAATGAGTCTTGGCCTCGGGGCGCTATACTACATTTTCGGGAGAAAATAGGCGAGGTCAAGCCCGGGCTCTCAACTATTGCAGATCACATGAATAATGACGAATAATATGCACCCACCGAACTATATATGGAGCATAAGCTAGGGCACACCCAGATGAGGAGGGTCTTACTAGTGCTGGACCAGGGTACCCACACTTATTTTACGACCAGTAACCCCCCTCAGTACATAAACCTGAGGGGGGCCACCGTACCATTTTGGGTAATTTATTATAGGGGATTGATATATCAATCCCCCCTTGGTCAATCCAACACCCCCTTTGGACTTGTCAAAAGCTGAATTTTGCACATAGTTTTCTATGAATCGTCAAGTCCGATGTCCTTTCAACTGGAGTTCGACGCATACGTATCATGATAATGGTACCATAGTAGGCAGCACGTTCGGTCATTCCAGCTCCCATGACAAGCCACAGTCTCTTAATCCCTGACCAGAACATGTTGAATAACCGAGTCAGATGGATTGTTGCTGCTTGTAGTTTGAATCCGTGGGCGATGCCTCCAGCCTCTGGGAACAAACCCGATCCCGTTAACAATTTCACTTCTTAAGGAGTCGGGACTGGATTGCGCCAAACTTACCCTCTCGGTGGGCCCCTGCTAGGCATCTCGGCTTAAATTGGCAGCACAAGGGGAAGCAGAAAGTGGGAGATCAGTTGAAAGAAGGAGGTGTTTCGCGCCCGGAGTAGACAAAGAAAGCACAAAACATGCCATCGTAAGGCACTTTACAAGTCGTTCAATAGCCAAAGAGTGCTATCGAGTACGAGCACCAGAATGAAGATTTGTATTCAGCATTTGAGATGCCGACTTATGTTCAAGTCGAGAAGTTCCGGGTCCCGCAAATTATTATGGACTAGGAGATTGATAATCTCGTTACACCTCAGCCTAGGCGCTGAAAGAATATTCTTATTATAGGAGACATAAGAACTGGTAAGAGCAGCTTAGCTTAGTATATCGCTTCGCGATATAGAGTGTTTTCCGAGTTTAAACGGAATAGGATCTTAACGGCTACCGAGAGGGCCACATTTGTGCCGTCTTCCATGACATTCAGAAAGGATTTCGATACTGGAAAGGAGTTTTTGGTTGTCAACCAGTTATTACTGTGTGTGGGCGTATACCGTATGTGTTTTGGGCGCCTGGCACGATTAGTGGGGGATTCCAGAGCAGGATGACTAAGCGGCCATGTGATCCATGGATAACTACCCCTAAGGCAAAGATAGCAACGAAGACACCTACAGGTTGGCTTCAACCTTCCATTCTAGTAGTTACTCCATGGTGTTCTCCTCTCCAACATCCTACTACTCCCAATGAATGACTTTGCTTTCACCCCGTTTCGCAGGCAGGACTTGTTGGTACCCCTGCTGCCTCCGTTGCAGTGGCCCCCTCTTCGATAATGTAGTAGGCTACCTAGGCTCGAAACGCGAGGCAAAGTCGATCACATTATTGAGAGCTTTCCACATTCCAAGCCGGGCTGGCGCAATTGGCAGCGCATCAGACTTCTAATCTGGGGGTTGGGGGTTCGAGCCCCCCGTCTGGCTTTTTTTTTTTTTTTTTTTTTTGGTTAAACCTATTTATTGATTGGCCTTTACTTAGCCGTAGTACTTTTTTCGTGATCAAATTATTGTGCTTACATGGAATAATTAAAGGTTGTTGTCGTGTTACGCCACGCGGATCACGATTCACTTGTGCTTCGGCAAGAACGTGAAATACGACGGATGTCACTTGCTGACTTACAACTATGCTGCCAGTACTAACTATATTGACCCAGCCTAACAATATGATCCATAACATTGTTTGTTCTACAAGCTATGAGAGCATGTAGAAATAATTGAATTTACATCGTAGTAGCAAAGCAGAGTATTCCCGAGGGGTGGAGATATATATTTCTCTGTTAGAAGTGTTGCATACATTACTTTCTACACCATGAATCTATCCATGAACCTACTTACATTACGCAAGTCAACCTGCTAGCCTAGCCTGACAAGCTAGTATCGGTATCGTGAGATTGCCAATTGCTACGGAAACATCACGCACAACTATAGTGTTTATCTCTAAGTCGTCAACTCTCCCTGTGGGTAATGTATGTTGCCTTGCAATGGTACGATAAAGATCATGTATAGTAAAGAGGATCATTTTCCCATCCAATAGGTGCCATGGTCTAGTGGTATGACGACACATTGTGGTACAACAATGATCTGTGTTAGCCCCGGTTCGATTCCGGGTGGCGCCATTCTTTTTTTATTTTGAAAATTTTTATCAACTCGCATACTGTGATAATGAGGAGGGTGTGCGGAGTATATTGAACACGAAACAATACAAAAAAAGCAAACTGACAAGCCAATTCCATCGAGATCATTTCTGATCTTGTTCCTCAACCACAACATATGCTGGGGTGCTGTAGGGGCGAATAATGAGAAGAAACTAGAATACGGAGTACCTCCATGGGAGATTAGCACAACACATTTCTTTATTCTTCTTTGAACCTAATCCAGATGCTTTGGGGTAGAATAAACTGCGGCCCAATGACATGACCAGGAGAACTAATATGTCTTTCAATCTTGTAATTAGGTGGTTCTGTTTAACATCAACCTCAGTGCTTGCATGCAATGAAACATATGGTCATGTTGAAAAGACGAAACAGAAACATCACCTTGGAAATCCTTGGAAATTATTGGAACTAGCCCATCGGGAATGAACCACGGAAGATCAAATCTATAACACTAAGGGTCTTCTGGGTCGAGTTTTCAATCCAACCTGTCCTTCCAAGGTCACTTGCAACACAGATAGAATCCATCTTGATTCCAAGGCAGTATGGAAGCTAAGCATGGGTACAAGCTTGTCGTGGGTGTGGACTACGGTACCACCTTCACAGGTAAGAAAGTCCACTTTCCTTCAATAACTCATTCATTCCTTTCACTAACGAATTTTCCTCTTGGGAAATAGAAATTGCATATGTCCTTACAACTCATGTAGGTGGTCAAGCAGATATTGATAGTATCGATTTGATCAAGCAGTGGCCTCCAGGTATTAATGGTAAGGCCAACACCCCATCCCTAATTTCATACATGCAGGATGGAGGAGCCCCTCTCTGGGGCTTTGAGGTCACACAAGACGTGCGATCATATGCCTGGACAAAGCTGCTATTGGACGCAAACTTTCAAAGTAGCAGCAAGTTCGACGATACATTCCTGAAGATCGCCACTGCTTCAAAGATTCTGGAGCTGCCTGACCAGAAGGAAGCTGTAGACACCGTGAAAGACTATCTTTCTCAGATCTACACACACATCCAGACCTATATCTCCGCCGAACTGGGTCTAAGTGGAGTGCCGATCGATTTCTGGTTCACGACGCCGGCCAGCTGGTCCGAAGAGACGCAGAACCTAATGCATCAAGCAATCCAAGGAGCCGGCTTTGGAAAAAGCCCTCAACATCGAGTGTGGACCATACCAGAACCAGAGGCTGCAGCTCTTGCTGTTTTCAGTGACAGAAGGGTCAATTTCGAGGTAAGTAAAAATTATCAACCCGGTGTCCTCGGTTCGTTTAGCTAAATATTTTATTCACTTAACCTTAGCCTCGTGATGGAATCCTGATCTGTGACTGTAGAGGTGGTACAGTGGTGAGATACCCGATTATACCGTTGAAACTTCATAATCTTACACTGTGACTAGGATATCACAACATACTATGTCACAGATGTCGATCCGACAATCTCTCTTGAGCAGATCACCACCGTTATGGGTAAGTTATACAAAGATATAATTGACATGGACTGAACACTAATACGCAACAGGGGCTAAATGTGGTGGAACTGCTATTGACAGTCGATTCTATGAACTACTGTCTAATAGGGTTGAAGGGGGATTCGATTCCCTATCCCTGAGCGAGATCCGACCAGGGAGCCGCGCCATGGAAAAGTTTGAAAGGATCAAGACTCGTTTCAATGGTGAAATGAGTCGGTCTTGGCACTTTGATTTCAACTTGAATTTCCCGTCTCCCAGCCAAAGACGAAGACGTGTTGTCCTTGAACCCGAAGATAAACCCCGAACGCACGTGTAATTTGTTGGGTGCCCAGTAAGGCAGGCACCGCACATAGCTAGAGTAGATAGCCTCGTACCTTCTACCTTCATTCAGCCGAATCTACACTCGTTGTTACCCACCTCCACTTAGAATTTTCAGCTTATAGATAGCGTGGTATGTAATTCGGTACTTGTACAGATTCGAAATAATTTAATATCCAAACAACGGCGCTCTCAACCCTCAATTTAATATATAGTTGGGCCGCCAAGCATCACTAACTGCCTAGCATCCATCTGGCATATTATAAATCGATAAATTCAAGGCTTATACAGTATAGAAGAGAGGAACCAGGGGAACTTTATGTAATACAAATACGAGCGTAATACCAAGGACTAAGATGAATTAGGGAAATATTAGGCAGATCTCTGCCCACTAGAAAAGAGGGTGGGTAGACTGTTGTACCTCCCCGTACGGAGACTTTTGCGGTCCGACTGTAACCATGTGACTAGTATCATTTACAGTACAGTATCATAGAGCCGTGTCGAAAGCGGTCTGAAATATTCAACGACAATATATTACATTCTCATTCAATAATCCGACCCCTGCACCTTCGCACCCGTACAATCTGGCGCCCCCTTGCCACGTTGCCACGTTTGAAAGGCCCGATCATGACTCTCGAGAAGGATTTCCTTACATCCGTGCAAGGCCCGGGCATAGATGACATTGCAAGGCTTGTGGAACTATTAGAAGACGCCGGAATCTCTTCGGCGCTCTGGGGAGTAAACGCTGCTAGCTGTTATGGGGGGGGACTTTGTCCATTGGTATGTTATCCAGAGCTCTAAGAATGTTAGCAAAGGTCTATCTAACAGACAGCCAGGATATCGAGATTGTCATTAATGAAGTCGATCAAGCAAGAACATTCGAGTTATTATGCTCTTATGGGTGTCGGCCATCGCAGCCCCTATCGGATAAACCTGCGACTTGTCTAAATGACTTTGATGAATGGCGTGGACTGGCTTTGCATTACCAGTATCACGATCGACGGCGCTTACGTATCTGCACACCTATCTATGAGCTCCCCAAAACCGGAGATGCATTCAGTGACTTTTTTCTTCCGTTTATCATCGTGTACTCCGCAGAACTAGTGGGGTTGCCAGCAGTTCCGCCACTATCGGCGATCAAGGCCTATACAGACAGCAAGGGCGAGATCACAAGCCAACCAAGGGACCAAAAACACCAGGAGGAAGCAGGACACCAAGACGGAAAACACCATTGTGATTATGTTTTAATCAGCTCTCTTCCTCATTATGTATTGGGCTCCCACGAATCTCAATCAAACCTTCTGGTACCCGACTTTAGCCGCCTTATACAGTCCAATTTGCATGTTCTCTTACAACTCGCCAATCAATCGCCTATTTGGGGTCAATACATGGCCCAGCTCTCAGAATTGGTTCACTCACCTGGTTGTGAGATGGGACCCCACTCTTTTCACGATATTGTAAAGCCGACACAAGTGAAATTTGCACAGTGGGTTCAATTGGATTTGAAAGGGGAAAGTGATCAAGAAGCCTTGTGCAAAAATCTAAACGAGCATAAGGGGCAAACAGCGAACATCGGGAGCTAAAAAAATACATCCAAGCATAAGAACTGATGCCCAACATCATTGGAGTAAACCCACGATAGATTATTGAGGATGTCAGAGAAAGTTACTGATATAGGTTTCTTAGTGTGGAAAAATGTCTAATAGATGCCATAAATAATCCAAGAAGATGACTTGGAAATGTCCGCTACGCCGGAAGTATGTTGCCTGGAGGATAAATGCGAATATAGAGGAATGGCAAGGACATATCCTAACTACTCTGAGATGAGTTCTGATCCCCCAACCCTAACCTATCTTCAATAACCTTCACTATCTCAGTCCATTCCAACATCGCGCCACTCCCCACATCCCCACAAGCTAACACCTTCGACGACTGCGGGTGTAGAACCTCGAACCAGCCTGTTTCCTCTCCCCTGTCCTCGTCTTTATTAACCCCCCACTCCTCCTCTAGCACCCCGATATGCTGGGCCGTCACTGGGTGCCGCCACATAGCCGTATTCATGGCCGGCGCAACTACTATTCGCTTTCGTTTCCCGTCAACCTGGCCATCGGTATCCCACGCCCGACATACCGATGTCAACAGGTTATCGCTTAGTCCGTTGGCGAGCTTAGCTAGGGTGTTTGCGGAAAGAGGAGCAATGACAAGGATATCTGCCCAGCGTCGGAGAGAGATGTGCAAGATATCAACGCCTCGGCGCCAGGGCTCTGGTCCCCACTCAGCGTCATCGTCGTACACGGCTTCCACGCCAGGGAGAAAAATGAGGGACGAGGCGGTGGGCTGCTCGGCGGACTGGCCGGCGAGGAATTGCTTGGCTTTGGTGGTGAGGATTACTCTTATTGAGAGCTTGTGGATATGCGGGGAAAGGGCGCTGATGATATTGGCTATTTTGATAGTCGCGACTGAGCCGGTTGCGGCAAGCAGGAGATGAATGCGATTGTCACAGATCGGTGTTTTTGATGACGTGGGATTTTTGTATGAGGCATCTTCGATGCCACTGATGAAGTGAGTCGATTGAGACATGATGAGTCTGGATATAAACTTATATGCGTCAGGTTAGTTTGATTGTAACATGTGCAGTTTCTAGCTGGTCGTCATGGATGATTGTCCACGGGGTGATAAGAGCTTATCGATAAGAATTCTACGATATCATCGGGGACGGAGTTTAGCTTTCATTTTCTTGGTATAGGATACGATGACCGTTAGGTATCAATAATATTCACATGAGCGCTGATTATCATTTTTCTGTTTATACACTTCGTCGAACCCATCATGCATTTCGAATAATATATAGATCACGCCCGAGAAGGGAAGCATCACTCGTAGTGTGCTCCTTGTACTCCACAACAACAGCAAATCGAGCAAACCAAGCAAACCAAGCAACTCAAGTGCTCTTCTTAGCATTCTCACGCTCAGCCTTGCGGAGAGCGCGCTTGCGAATGCTCTCGTGCATAGACTTGTTCTGCCCGAGAACAAGCTTGCCCATAGTCCCAGAAACACAAGTCAGGAACCAGGCCATAATACCATGGCTCCAGTATGGCGACGAGCTGTAAGCGTAGGTAGGCGAACCACCACTACGACCAATCTTTGACAGAACGGAGCGAACGAAAGCGCGAGGGGTAGGAATAGAAGCCGAAGCACGACGGATCTTGGACATGGCAGAGGTAATCAGGTAGGCCTGGACAAGTTCCACATCAATGCCGTAGGGGGCCAACTCGCCGCCAAGAGCAGTAGACCAGTGCTGAAGGAAAGCCTTGCTGCCGGAGTAAGTGGCGAGGAACGGAGTAGGTAGGAGGCCACCGAAAGAGCCCATGGTCAGAATCAGACCGCGGCGGCGCTGTATCATGCCCGGAACGACAAGCTGAGTGACGCGCAGCGTGCCGGTGCAGTTGATGGTCACGATATCGGCCATCTCTGCGGCGGGGGTCTGGGCGAACGGAACGGGGATCGAATGGCTCAAGCCGACGTTGTTGACTAGAACGGAAACATCCAGATCGGAGACAAGTTCGCTCAGCGCCTGGTAGTCGGAATCGGCGTTGCGTGAGAAATCCATTGCGAGTGTCTTGGTCTGCACCTGCGGGAACTGCTTGCTGATATCCTCTGAAAGGGTTGCCAGCTTCGAGGCTGTTCGGGATACGAGCACAATGTTGAATTTCGACTTGGCCAATTGCAGCGCGAATTCCTTGCCTAGGCCGTCTGAGGCGCCTGTTACCACGGCCCAGCTACCGGGGGGACCGAACGAGCGAAGCTATTTGATCATTCTAGTCAGCTTCATCCCGTTAATTTCAGGATCTGAATATAAAATTTCATACCGGTTTACCCGGAAGCACGAACAGGCTGAGAAGCACCCGCACGAACGTCCAGACCTTGCAGGCAATGACCAGCCCGCCAGTCGCTAGGAGAAACAGCGCTCCATAAGTAGGTAAGCCCGGGGCAATATGAGCTGGCCATTGAGACAGGCATTCAATATGCTTCGAGATATCCATAACGAGCGAAGAAACGTGAATAGCAAGAAGTTGACAGAAGAAAAAGGAAAAGTTGAGCAAACTAATGCGAGGCTTGTTGGGAAGATCCACGCCAAGACTCCCGGAACATCCTCGGCGTCTCCTCGAGTCACAAGAAAAACAATCAACTCCCTTCAAACCAAACAAAAAGACAAAATCACGCTCAGAAATGGACCAATACTTAGCCTATCTGCCTCAGTCCGAGGGCCTCCTGCCCAAATGGCTCTTTTTCGTAAGTTCTACCCGTGTCCACCCCAGTCCCCATTACCACTGCCACTCCGAACCCCTAGCTACCGATGCCTCTATTCCCTCAATCTAACCACCACTCTCTATACAGGTCTCGGTCGTTTCCGCTCTTAACAGCCTGCAAGCCTACATTGCCCCGAATTACACCTCTCTACTCTACAGCAATGGCACGGTTCCCGCAACTCCGCTCTCCGGCCGCATCTTCGGAACCTGGACCTTCCTCTCTGCAGTCATTCGCATGACCGCTGCTTACAACATCACGAACCCTGTCGCGTACAACCTTGGCATGTGGACGTACGGCATTGCGCTGTCTCACTTTGTTGGCGAGCTCGTCCTCGGCAATGCCTCGCTCAAGGGCCGGTTCTTGAATCCTTTGATTGTTGCGTCGGGTTCGCTGGCTTGGATGTTCACCCAGCGCGGAGCGTACCTGGGTTAAGTGCCTGATTTGGAAGAGGGGATGATCCGGCTTCAGGGATGGTTCAATGCAATGCAACACACGGAACCGATAGCTATAGCGGAACGAGCATTGCATGTTGGACCACAACTATAACATAACTTACATTCGGCACAAAAGCCTTGGCGGAGAAAATAATATAATTGCATATAGATATAGGATGAAATAGGTTCAACTCTGGTATAACCCGCCCAGAATTCATCATTTTTTTTTTCTTTTTAATTCAGAGACATTCAC